CAAATTGGCAAGTTTGACTGACAGAGTAAAGTAATAATTATAAGTAACTTTTATTAACTTAGAAAGAAAATGGACTATGGGTTCTCAGGGGATAATAGAATGTAAAGCTATCCTTCAGAATTCCTATCCATCATCGCAGGGTCCAGTGAAATTAATCAGCAACAGCAGAAGTACTATGCTGACATACTGAAGGACTTAGGTTTCTATGAGAACTTCTCTTGCTCCATTATAAGTATGTTTTTTTATAAATAATACCCTTTTGTGCACATTATTTCATTTTAAGAATCATAGAAAATATTTCCATTATTTCAGCTTGTCTATCTCAGTTCTTTTCTAAGCATCTAAAGAAAAAATGGTTTCATTCTCTTCGGGGTCTTTCTAATATTTTGCTCATTTTCCACTTCCTTTCTCAGTTTGGACAATTGTCAGATCTTCAGAATTAGTGATATTTTAATGTGGGAGTGGAAAAGATGGGTGTCAGCTGTATGGGCAGAAAGCTATTTAATAAACTATATATATTTGTATAATGTCAAGGGGGGGTTGCTTGTTTGTTCCAATAGCTTTCAATGATAACCAAGTGGAATGAAGAAAAAATATATAACATTAAGTAGTTCTTAAATTTCTTTTTGACAAACATGCCACAAGTTCTAAGTTCTATAATTTTGTTAACTATTAAAGTGAAGAACCTATCTTGATTCTTTTCAGAGAATTTTAAAAACCTTTCCGTCACCTTCTCAACTTCATCACTAACCTTCTTTATTATGTAGACATGTATTTACATATGCAGACATATTTACATATAAACCTACTTGTTAATCCAAAAAAACATGATTTGTCTGGCAATGCGTTTGCATAGATAACTTCAATACAAAACAACATAGGTAGTTGTAATCTTTTAAAATTTCCTACTTATTAAAACTTTTCCTCATTAATTAATAAGTATATGCTCTGTTGATTAATTTAGAAATAAAACATACTGTGCTTCATTTCTGTATCTAACTCTTTGGCACACGCTTCATGAATCTTTCAGCAATAATTACCCAAATCCTATGTAAAACTACACAATGATAACCCCATCCATTTCAAATATATATTGTATTGCTGCTTTTTACACTATTGCATTAGATGCAGCCACGTCAAAACACATTTCTGGGAAGAAGAGATAAGATAAGATAAGATAATCTTTATTGTCATTTTTTACTGTGGGTACAACGGCACACATCAAAAATGAAATTTAGTTGCCCGCTCTCAAAGTGAACACATACATGACACACACCTAAACATACTATTTACAACATATCTAAAAAGTGCTGCAGTCGGATCTTTCATTTCCCTCCCTAACCCCCACACTTTTGAGAGATAGAAGTAAAATGAACTGTTAATTACATTGCAAATTAACTATTAGGATTGTAATAACCCACACTAACTAACATTTCAATAGCTTTAGTTTGATTTAGAGGTCCATTTTTTTTTCCTAATATTTGCATGTTGAAAAAAATCCTTTTAGTGATATCACAATGTATATTTTATTTCTTCTAAAAGTAATTTAATTCCTATAAAATTATAAAAGAGCAAATATATATATTATTAAAGATTGGAATAAAATGTAAACTATTCATGTTTCTTATTTACTGTTTTAAAGCATCAAAGTATAATATACAAAATTAAGGGTAGTGAATCTTTATGAAACTATGTTATTTGTTTTCATTAATATGATTTATTGACTTCAAATTTAAAATGTAAACTTTATTCAAATGGGTAGTTTAAGTCAAAATAATTCCATATTTTTACTTGTATCTGCACTCTGGTATTCTGCTACCAAATAAATCTCTATTGTTTTTCTTTGACACAATTAGAATAACTAGAACTTATATTGCTTCTGAGAGACCATGGATTGGAAATTGATAACAAAATATAATTATGTAAGGAAGGGTTTTCATTTTTTATGGCCTAATGATGTTTGTGATACTGTACATAATTATAAATGCAAATTATGATTCTAATAACAATTCATGCTGTAAAGGTTTCTTTGAGACAAACTTTGCCAGTATGGTTCAGTTGGTATTTGAAGTATGGCCATCTGCATCTAAACGAGTAGCTCCAAGACAATCAGATTATATATTAGTTACTTTGGTGAGAATATCGCGTAAGTGGAATGGAAACTTCATTTTGAGTCTAATATTAGACCTTGCTTTGGAAAATTCCTTTTAAATGATCACAAGCTGGGAATAGCAAAAGAATTTAACTTTCAACAGACAGCATTCTCAAAGAATTTGCTTATGTTAGGTCCCTGGGAAAGCAGATGTGAAGTTTAGTGAACTGAATTATTTTGACCTGATGCAGTATCTATGTCAATTATTAAGGTCTTCTCCCTGATCTTCTGTTTCCAGAATATCTTCATTCTTTAAACATCCATTTGAATCGGATATTTTGATTGCTCGTTCAATAAGCCTAAGATATTTGAATCAAATTCTTACTTAAACAAATGTCTTTTTTTCCCCCTTGCATCTGCCATTTAGGTAGTAATCTAACACCTAGAATAGAATTAAAGAGTGAGTGTCTGAATTCAGGTATTTTTAAATTCTGGATAAGTATGCTGTTGTTAGTTAATAAGCACCTAAAGGAATACTTTAATGTGATTAGTCATATATCAATTAGTTTACAGGTAGTCCTCAATTGTCAACCACTTCTTCGGTGACCAATCAAACTTACAGTGATGCTGAAAATAGAAACAACTGGCTCTCAAAGTTGCGGTCTACACCATGTCCCAGCAGTCATGTAATCAAAATTCAGACACTTGCAACTAGCATGTGTGATGTTGTGTTTAACAACCCATAGTGATTCACAACCACAGTCAGATCTGCTGGAATTGAGGTTGTAAGTTGGCACAGTCACGTAATATCATGCTTAACTACCACACTACTTAGTAATCGAGTGACCAGTCCTAATTCCAGTTGGTAAATGAGGATTATCAGTATTGTTCTTTAATGAACTGACATATTTAGAATTAATTGGACTCCATTATATTTCTATAGATAAGAACTGTCAAAATCACCATTTTGTTGGCATATAATAAAGATAATGCTTCTTTAAAACACATGTTTCTGCACTATTCTATATTTACTAAGTTTTGGGAGAAAGTAGTGAACCATATAAATATGACTGTGTGACTAAAAGTAAAATTCTCAGAGGTTAATATTTCTTTTTCTATAATTTTTAATTAAAACTTTTGAACAAGAAGAAAAAAACTAGCAAACTAATATAAAGTAGGGAGAGAAAAATAAAGGAAAAATTGCAAAAAAGAAAAATGGAAGAAAAGTAGAAAAGAAAGAAAAAAAATATGAAGAAGTAACTTCCAATATTGTTCATAACAGTTATATGTACAAAGATATTTGACCACTCTCTAAAGTTACCTTCTTTCTATAATCTATCCTGTCTAATCATCAAAACCATAAGTCATTTTTTGGTTCATTTTTTTTTCATTTTTACCCAAAAAATCCATAAGAGGCTTTCAGTCACCAATAAATGTACATAATGCTTTTTCTCTAATCGAAGAAGTCGGTTTATCTATTTCAACAAGATCTATTATCTTCACCAACCATTCCTTCATAATGAATAATGTCAAGTCTTTCCAAATCTAGGCCTATGGTAATTATTAATGAAATAATCATTTATTGAAATAATCTTCTATAGTCTATAATATTCTCTTGAACTACATAAAGTACATGAAATTTGACAATTAAACAACATAAGTGGATTCTCCATGCCTTTACTGTGGCCAAAAGGCTGATACACATACAGATAGTTATTCACTTAAGTTACAACCATTAATTAATGTCATATTTAATCTTCAGCCATTTGTTCTTAACAAAATGCAATCCTTACCTGCCATTTAGTAAAAAAAAATTGATTCTCTAAAATCTCAACTGATCTAATTCAACTGTTTCTAGTTGAATGGTATAGCACATCATAATTAATAATTTAAATGTGGAATATCATTTTTGTAAGGAGAGGGCAATTGATGAAAACAATGTTAGGTTTATTGAAAAAAATTGTCAGTTTCTATATTCATAAGCTGGAATTGGGGCAAATCATTTTAGAATGTACATACATAATTTAGTACAAACTAGATTTTGTGTCAGAGGTTTCTTTGAAGATAGTATGCTATATATTTATGTATTTATTAATTTGAATTTATATGTCCGGCTACTTGCTACCAGTGACTCTGGGTAGCTTACAAAAATATTAATCTCTGATGTTTAAATTTCTATTTTAATATTAAACTTTGTTTGTGCTTTGATGTTTGGATATTGCTTTAATTGTATTTATGCTGTTTAGGCTTGTTTTGTTTAATATATTTTATATATTTTTGATACAAAGAAATCAAATTTTGTTGCATTTGATATATAATGGTGATGATCTTTGTGAAGTGATTAAAGACGCTTGAACTCAATTTTTCTTAGCGTAGTTGAAATATCAGGGATATCATCTGTTCCTTGTTACTAGACTTAATGTTCTACAAGGTGAAAAATCTTAATAGGATTAGATAATTTGGGGATCTCCTATGCTTCCCTCCCGCCATTTTGTGATTCTCAGAGCACTTCCAAATTGTACTGCCATAATTTAGGAAAACTGCTAATCTAGAGTTAATGTAGTTTTTTCTGTTTCCTTTTTTTGCTGCTTTATAAATAATATAAATAGTATGTTGATTTTGCTTCTTAATTACATATCCAACCTTCTTAAACAAAATGTTGAAAAATTGATTCCAACTACCTAATTAATGTCACTAGTCAAATAACCCTACTTCCTATGGTACCCAACAAGAAAAACAAATGTCTCTAGTTATCATTGCCTCGTTTTTGTTTTTGTTAGTTTTTTAAGCATCAGTATCCCTTAAATTATATGTTGTTGCATAATAAGATTCATCTGTATCATTTTGGAACTGACAAGGTAATCAATCTGCTCTAAATTCTAATTTCTTGGTCTGCTACTTTGTGCAGGTAAATCTCACTTGGCAATTGTGCAGCGGGTGAATAATGAAGGGGAAGGGGATCCTTTTTATGAAGTCTTGGGCATTGTTACCTTGGAAGATGTAATTGAAGAGATCATCAAGTCTGAGATTCTAGATGAAACAGATCTCTACAGTGAGTATTAAGCACCACAATGTTTGCCCTCAGAATTTTATAAAGGCCTTCTTGTAATAAAGTTTTCTGTCTTTTTATTTTTTGAGGTAAATTACATTTTGAGATGAATTAAATGTGAACTAAAATTGAAAGCCTGGCCCAATTCAAAATGCGTGTGACTGCCTCTATATCATAACAAAAAGAGACAGTCTTATCACTAGAAAGCTATTTTAGAAGATAAAGGATCAAATTTTCACAATAAATGATCAATTTTATACCCTTTAACTTAGTCTGATGCTTTAAAATGATCTGTTACCTTTCTTCTAGTTGTCTTCTATACATGGTATTTGAGAGTGTAAGAATATTGTCAAAAATTAGGCAGCAAAATGGCTTAGATTAACCCTCAGAAGCACTGTATGTCTTCTCTAAAAATGTAGAAAATTTTTACTACTGCAATGCATGGTTTGTAGTACTTCATGTGCCATCACTGCAGTTTGTTGTGGAAAAGAGACAGACAGTTGTGAAAATACAATGTAGATTGGGCTGCAGACATTTTGGAAAATATATGTGTATTTTTGTTATGCTGTCATATCTGGTCAAGCAGATATGCTGAACTAAGTAATAAATGCAAATACAGAGGCTGAATCCTGACAACACAGGGCCTTGGTTGGGAGGGTGTGCTCTTCAGTTTGTGATTGTGGTTTACCATCATTGGAGGCCCAAATCAGTTCTGTGACCTGGAACATTTGTTAGTATACCAGGTATAACTTTTCCTGGACAAGGGTATCTTCCACTAATACAGTGGTTCTCAACCTTTTTAATGCCGCGACCCCCAACTGGTCGTAAGTTGAGGACTATTCAACCGGTCGTAAGTCGAGGACTACTCAACTGGTGCAGCACCGTTTGCAGAATGGGACTTTTGGTGGGCTCAGCAGGGCAGAGACAGCCTGGACAATTCCTATTGGCTTTTGAAAGCCAATAGAATTAGACTCTATTCAAGAGAGTCTATTCTATTGGCTTTCAAAAGCCAATAGAATAAAAGGGAGTAACACAGCTAAGGAAAAGGGGGGGGGGGGAAATGGCGGACTGTTGTTTGGCAACCCCCGTGAAATGGTTGTTCGACCCCAAATGGGGTCCCGACCCACAGGTTGAGAACCACTGCACTAATGGGTTTTCTTCCACAGTGGATTTGATATAGTCCTATACTTCAGCTGTAGCTAGTGATTCAGGTAGCAGCCAAGCTGCTGAAGGAGTAGCTATACATATTCTACTACTGCTGAAACAACTGCACTAGCTTTAGTTTGTAAACAAACTTCACAGTATATACAATAACTTCCTAAATGGAGATATAACTTTATGCTGTCAATTAAGGAGTTCTAGTGTTTCTGCAATGATCTGTAGACTACAATTTGGTGGGACCATTGTGCTATCCTTTCTTTGGGATACTTTCTACTCAATTATTCAATTTGCTTACTGTGATATATATTAGGCTCCTATTAAAATCTCTTCACCTATATCTTTTCTACATGAATGCTGTTTGTTAATGTTTGTTTTATCAGATCTACATAGCTGCCCATCTCACACAAGGTGACTCTGGGCAGCATCCCTAAAATTCACCGGTTTACACATGTTATAATATCAACTAAATTAATTATATAATCTGTTAAAATTGTTTTGTTAAAAACAATTAATTATTAAAACCAAGATTGCAAGAGGGTCAAAATCCGAATGATATGCATGATGTAGCCACAGTACAGGCTCCTTGCTGGAAGGGGATCCCCAGGCCTGATGCAAAAAGCATGTTTTGACAGCTTTCAGGAAGACCATAAGGGTTGGGGCTACCACTTCAGGGCAAATAATATCGCAAAGGGCAAGTGCTGTGGCAGAAAAGGCTTTTTTCCTAGGCCCCGTCAGACAGAATTTTTTTAGCTGATGGGACCTGCAGCATGATTCTCCTGCCAAACTTGATGGGGTGGATAGATGTAATCAGGGAGAGGCAGTCCCTCAGATAACATGGCCTCATATCATGTAGGGCAGTGTTTCCCAAACTTGACAATTTTAAGGCATGTGGACTTCAACTCCCAGAATTCCACAGCCGGCATTGCTGGCTGTGGAATTCTGGGAGTTGAAGTCCACATGCCTTAAAATTGTCAAGTTTGGGAAACACTGATAGGGCTTTGAAGATCAAAAACAGCACCTTGAATTGGACCAGGAGTCAAATTGGTAACCAATGCAAACTCACAGATCAAAGGTATAATGTGTCTTTCTAGAGACATATATCATTGCCCATGCCATTGCAGCTGGAGTTTCTGGATGCTCTTCAAAGACAGCAGCATGACAGTAATCCTTTTGAGAGATGACTACGGAGTGAGTAATTGTGAGCAGTACCTCATGATCCAGGAACAGGTGCAACTGGCACCCAATACAAAGTTGTACAAAGGCCCTTCCGATGTAATAGAATGTGTGAATGACCTTGGAGGAAAAAGGAAAGAGATGCTGCCTAGGAAACAGACAAGAGATGCAAGAGCCCCAGTGGCTTAGCCATTAGAGAAAGAAATTTAGAAAGGACCCATCTTGATGGATCAATCAGTTAAAAGTGGCAGGAGGAAGTTAGCCGGGGGGCAATGGCGTGAGCCTGTAATCCAGCTACTTGGGAGGCTGAAGTGGCACTTGAGCTCAGGAGTTCTGGGCTGCAGTGGGCTATGCCGATTGGGTATCCGGCATCAATATGGTGATATGGCAGGAGGAAGTTTGTGCCTTCAGATTTGCAAGATTCTGTTAATGTAGCCTTACCGTGATACAAAATTAGTTAATCTAATCCTGTTTCCTGTTTGGTTTAGGGAACTGTTTCCATAATGTCTTTATGTGGGGGTCAAAATAGGGTCCTTCCTTTTGCAGTCTCCTTCACAAGTCATCTGGAATCATGAGAGAGTTGAGGAATTCTCTGGCTGTGGAAAAGAGCTGAGGATGAAAAAGTCTGTTTCTCAGACAAATTTTACCTGATATCAGATTCCACCCAATACTCCTTTTATGAAAAAAGTGTATATGAAAATAACATAATAACACAATCCCCAAAGATACATACATTTTGTTAAAAGACAACACTCAGTATGATAAACCATGTCTGACATTAGCTAATTTTAATATATACTAAAAAACAGCTTCAACCCACAATATCTAAACCAGGGGTAGGCAATCTTGGCTCTTTTATGACTCGTGGAGTTCAATTCCCAGAATTCCTGAGCCAGCCACACTGAGGGAAAAGGGAAGTTTCCATACTGAGCCATACTGGCTCAGGAATTCTGGGAGTTGACGTCCATGAGTCATAAAAGAGCCAAGGTTGCCTACCCCTGATCTAGACAATAGTTAATGCTTGCTGCAGTCAAATTTTATTTTCAGAAGATGGCATAAAAACTTTAGTACTAAAAAAATTTCATAGTCCTAAACTTCTTAAAAAGTATATGTTTGACAAAATCTACTTAGGACAATCCTTCTAGTACAGTTAATGTTACCATTTTAAAATGTAATCTGCACTACAAGGTATATAGCAGGTTGTCCTCTAAACCAGGCGGGTCCAACCTGTGCCCCCTGGACTACATGAGGCCCTGAACAGCTAATAATGCATCCCCACAAGATCATAAACTTTTAACATCATTATATATTTTATATACATTAACTATATTATATATTTATACGTCGCCCCAAACAATTCTTCACTCAGTGGCACAGACAAGTCAAAAGGTTGGACACCATGCTCTAAACTTTCTATTACTAATTTAAATTATAAATTAAATTACAAAAATAACAAATTACAAAATTACAAATTCTGAAAGCCTGTATGATTTACTGTATATATTGCACATAGTTTGTTATACTGATAATTGTCTGAAATATTTGGTAAATGTAAGATTATGTCTAAAAAGAATCAGTTGTAAAAGAAAAGAAAATACAAACTCAAAGGGCAGACTCAATGGACTATTAGGTCTTTTTCTGCCATCAATGTTCTGTGTTTCTATATTCTATAAGCATATTTAAATATGCCTATTACAGCACAGTTTCCTTAATTTCATATTGGCTCGTCATTTTTATGCACAATCATCAGACATTTGCAACACTCATTTCATTAAACACTTCCGTCCTAGAAGATTTTCAGTCTATTTAGATCTTTAGCTATGATTGTATGAACCTCTCCTTATTTTGTACATGAAAAATAGCCAACAGTTTCATCTGATCCTGTGACACCATTAAAATTAATGCAGTTTTCCTATTAGCATAAAACATGCTGGTACAAGAGAAACAAAAATGCCAAATATTTTTTTTGTCTATCACTGTTCAAAGGAATGTTGGATTATTTTCTGCCAATTATCTCTTTTCCTCACTGTTGTCATTATTTGTAAAACCAGGAACACTTCCTCAGCGCCATAATTTATGCCTCACTGCCCTAATTTTTAATGCAGAAAAGCAGCAGTTGGGAACACTCTAACTGGTCTTTACATGTTAACCTAATGAAAACAGATCTTACATGAATTTACGCAGTAGCTTGCTTTGATAAGGTAAAGACTTTTATCAAAAGTTACTCGATATCACAAACCTTTAATTAGATGGATGGAGTTTCTCAGAGGTTTGTGAACTTCTGTTTGTGTAAATAACAACAGCTTGTAATAATTGTGCATCAACGTTAAAAATGGAATCACAAGGTAAACACTGGAATGAAATGTAATGAATATTTTATTTGTTTTATCTCTAGCTGATAACAAGACCAAAAAGAAAGTAGCCCATCGGGAGAGAAAACAGGATTTCTCTGCCTTCAAACAGACAGATAGTGAAATGAAGGTTAAAATCTCACCACAGTTGCTTTTGGCAATGCATCGTTTCCTAGCAACAGGCAAGTGTGGTTTATTAAAGTTCTTATCACATTAGGATCTAACTGCTAAATGGTTAACAGAATCGATGAAATAGTGGATGGGGTAGGGAAGCTGTGTTAGGGAATTGTATATTGTGTCTCGTTCATTATATTCTCTTCTCTTATAGTTTATGGTCAGTGCTGATAGAAATTCTGAGAGTTTAACAGAAATAGAGCTAGTACAACTTAAAATTGTTTGAGAGGGCCAGGGTAAGGAGCAGCATCACATTACTTTCATAGACTTGATCAGGCTAAAACTGAACTGGATAGCACTAGGAAAGTCATGTAACTTTCTTTGTCTTTCATTTAATTAAAAATAGTTGCTGGAATGAAACAAAAGTGCAGGACTGAATCCTGTCTATTTTCCATTCAAGATCAATCTTCCCCTTTTCTCTTCCTGCCTTCTCTGTAGTTTCCTTTTTTCTTTTATATGTGTGCCTTTTTCCTTTTGGGAGGAAAAATATTTTAGGTCGAATTTCCAGGTGGAGTAGCCAACAAAAAACGGAAGAAAGATATCTTCTTTAATTGCTTCCTCCACTTCTGGTCTCACTTAATGAATAGACAGGTACCTGCAGTCTATTATTGCCCAGATGGATTGATAAATTCTTGGGCAGTCTGAGCAGTGACATGGACATGGTGAACATGGCAGAGGACAGAGATAATAAGTTAACAGAGATGTGTTGGCCTGAGATATTTGCTATTCTACTTTTGTATTTATTTTAATAATGTGCTAATCAATGTATTATGTCTTAACGAATGTGCTATATGTTATCAATCAAGTTGTTTTTATGTTTTCAGAGGTTGAAGCATTTGGTCCATCCCAAATGTCTGAAAAGATCCTCCTGAGGCTACTAAAGCATCCCAATGTTATTCAGGAGCTGAAGTATGATGATAAAAACAAGAAAGCCCCTGAATACTACCTCTATCAGCGAAACAAACCTATTGATTACTTCATTCTAATTTTACAGGTCAGACTATCATTATAAGCATTTGCTTCTCCTGTAACTCTCATCTGACTAGCATGACTATTCAGTGATAGTGTCTAATGTCAGAAGGGTCATCATAGTTCCTGTATTACCTTGTTACTTGTTCTGCCTGCATTATGCAACCTAAGATTTAGTTAAACAAGATACCCTTCATCCTAATAGTGAGTGAATGGCTTTTTAAAAAATAAATGGCAGCTTCAGGGATATTGGCAAAGGGTCCACTAGTAAGAATGGGAGCTCTTTTTTCAGTGCAGATAGTGGGAGGATGGAGCTGAGCTGGTTTAAAACACCAGGAAGAGGGCAAAAGTCAAGATAATACTTCCCCCTTCCATAGTTCCAGTCTCAGTCATTCTTTTAGAAAGATTTCAATCGATGCCATCTTATTTAATAGGAAATTGAGCCAGGGAGGAAAAATTCAATTTTCAATAAAATTATTATGTTTGTATTAAAATTTTAAAAATGAACTCATTCTACTTTATTGTAAGGCTATGTTAATAGAATCTTGCACGTCTGAAGACACACATTTCACTACTTGGTCCATTAAAGTGGGTCTTTCTTAAGTTTCTCTGACATAAAGCGACTGCAGGCTCCTGCTTCTCTTGTCTGATTGCTTCCTAGGCAGCATCTCCTCCTCTTTTCCCCCAAGATCTTTCATACATTCCATTTCAATAAAGCATGAGATGAAAGAAAAAGGCACAATCTGAAAATGACCGAAGAAATTGCTGTTGACCCTTTTGAAGAAAAGGTGAAAAAATTAGCCTGTATAAAACCAGGGCCATGTATTACATTCTTATTCAGTTATTCAATGTATTGATCATCATACAATATTAGACATACTCCTAGTTAATATTAACTACTTTTAATGAACCATTAAAATAATCCACTTCATTACATAATTTAAGTCCCTGTACATGTTTTCAAGTCATCATTCCCCTTGCTGACTACATTGGCTAAGGATACTGAGAATTGTAAGTAAGCAACATCTGGAAGGTAATGTTATCTGAGTTTTGGTGTTTGGCATCATTGAAGTAGAGTGAAAACCAAATTATTCTAAAAAGTAGTGGGAACAGATTGAAAACAATTAAGCAGGAAATAAGCTTGAAAATCACACTTTCTCCCAAACTAAATATTTTTAGATCAATAACCAGAAGAGATGACATTTTAATGCAATCCTAGTATGCATATTATTAATTTGTGTTATTATTTTATGGGTAATCTGTAATATGATTTGGACTAATCTTAGTTTTGCCTAATAAACTAAACAACATGTACACTGTAGTAAGCAAACAGCTCCACCTATTGGTTTGCTTTTAAAACAAATGAAAGGAGAAAACGAAAACAATATTTTGGTCTTTAGATTTGCTATTGACAATGCTACAGGTATTTAGTTTAATGCATTAATTTGGTATTTTTGAACAAAACTGAAATTTTCTACACTATTTCTCCTTAGCTATTATGGTTTTGATATTTCCATACATCAATTAACAAGGTAGTTTGAATGTTTGTTAGGAGCATTATCTTCATTGATAAAAATTGATTTATACAAATTTGTTTCTTCAGATACCTATGCAGATGTTATTTTTACAGAGAAAAACAAACTATGAATTCTGAAGCCTTTCTTTGGTTGCCCAGAATAGCATGAAGGTCATTAAATCCTGAACGAAATTTGAAATATGGTCAAGATACGATTTAATATATCTTATGTTATAATTGCAGTTTAACTTGTTTTTCTTAAAGTATTTTTAAAAGACTTTAAAGTTAGTCTTGAAGAAAAAAGTTGCAAATCTGATCTTATTGAGCTTCTTTTATAAAATATATAACTTTTTATTTTAAAAAAGGATTTCTGTGTAAAGAGTATATTTATTTTTATTTTGCTTCTCTCTGAATCATAGTCTATTCTTGAGTCATTTATCTGCTTAAGTCACCTCTAGTTTTGAATGAATGAATTCTTTGTTATAGCCAAAGGCTTACAAGAAATAAAAAAAAAGTCCAGACAGTAATCCAATAGTGTGTTACATAATGAATAATACAGCGGGGAAACAAACAGATTGTAAAATAAAAGCAATAGGGAATAAGTGCTATAGCTGGAAAGGGAACTGGTTTTGATAGCATACTCTCACCATTTATTGCTGTACTCTACATGCTGCATACAGAATTTGGCTGTGTATAAGACTGAAGAATCTAGGTGCTCTTGGAAGTTCACTAAATGGAGCATAATTATCATTATGTCCCCCTTGAGATGCCTCACAGCAGGCTCAACTGTAGTCCTTCCATAACTTCTATGTGCATAATGTCAGCACCTCCATAAAAAGTTTTAATGGCCTTCAGGAGCTTGTTGAATCACCAGTGGAAGGGTATTCCAAAAAGTAGGAGCAGCCACAGAAAAGGCATGCTTCCAAGATCCCACTAGATTTCAGGGAGGGGACCTAGAGCGTGCCCATCCTATGTGATCTAATGGGTATATATTCTTAGGGAGAGGTGGCCTCACAAATAATCAGGTCCCATGGCCTATAGGGCTTTAAAGGTGATAACTATCAGCTTGAATGACACCTGAAAGAAATCAGGGAGAAATCAAGAGGCTCATACAATAAAGGTATAACATAGGTGAGCCTATGGGCACCTAATACTCTAGACACCGCTGTGTTCTGAGCCAGCTGTAACGTCCAAGTGGACTTTAAGAGCAGCTTTAGAGCTTTACAATAATGCAGCCAGAAGGTAACTTATATGAGTGATTGTGAGCAAGGCCTCTTGGTCCAGAAAAGAGTGCTATTGGTGCACAAAACAAATCTGTACAAAGCATCCCCTTGCCATGGCTATATCTGCTCATTAAGCAGGAGCAGTGAGTCCAGGAACACCCCCCTGCAATGGCATCACTTGCCTAGCCCCAGTGGAGATGTATAACTCAATCCTCATTATATACAGCATTGTATGAAGACATTTCATTTGTATCAAATGTCCTTGAATCCAAAGAATGGGTACCATCCTTTTATAGGCTTGTTGTAAATCTGCCTTCGAGCAGAGCAGAAGAGAGAATGTGAAGTCAAGCTTGAGAGAAAGCTTTGTGATGCTTTGGGAGTTCCAAGATGGCAAGATTCCATTTCCAGAATCTAACATTAAAGACTCATTTGCTATTCAGCATCCAGAACTTATTGTTCAAAAAGAACCCTTATAGCTAAAGCTTCAGGAAAAGATTTAGGTCAGTAATTTAGACTCTGGCTTGAAGATTTTTAATGCTGCTTAAAATTTATTTTGTAACTCAAAAGAATTTTACCTGCCTCTGTGCTGAGTCTATTTTTCTCTAATTTGCTATATTTAGTCATTGTTTTATTACCTCATATCAAAATGTAAAGGAAATAACTTACAGTGTAAATTAGGCATTGTAAATCCTTCTTAAGATTTTTGATCCGTTGAAGGGATAGTTGCATTTTAAAGAGGATGGCGGTTTCTATACTACTCATGCAAACCTTGTGAAAGCTGCAAGAGGGTAAAACATAATGTAGTACAGTCCATCAAACCAATGGTTGAACCCTAGAATTGCCAACTCATATAATCTCTGTTTGGCTAGATTTGAGAATCAGTGGTAGTTGTCAGATCCCCTCTTAGTCATGGAGTTCACTGGGTAGTTTTGGTTCAATTACTGTCTATTAATCCAAAGTACCTTAAAATGTTTTGTAAAGAAAGAAAGATACTGTCTGTATTACATGCTGAAGGTTTTCATAGAAGGCCTCAATTGTATTTGGATCAGAAATTTTTTTTAATGTTTATGTAGAAATATGTAACCGTATACTTAACAGCTTTGTAGAATTTGTACTTATAGAAATTGTACCATTATCTATTGCTGAAGTCTCTTTTAGGTTGATATTTATGGTAATATGGTAATTTATGATACTTTTAATGATCTCTTTGTATAGTTCCTCACATGTGTTCTATGCCTTGATGGGGTGAATTCTTAGCATAGAGTAAGGTTTTATTCTGAGAGTTAGAACTTCCATAGAGATTTTGGTTGGGTTCACACATTATACTAAGTCATAATGTAATTTGTTTGGTTTTAGCTTATTATAATAATAAGCAACCTCACCACTGCATTTTCTTCAATAAGCCACAGCCAAAGCAACTTTGGTGTACCGCCATGTGTGAACCTTGCCTTTCACAGAATTTTATCTATCAAGGTGTAATCCTGTTTAACACAGGAGTTAAAATTAAAGCATTCCCAATAGCTGGATATCCAGACTCCATTTAAATAACTCAGTTAAAGGGGAGCTGATCACCTTTGATAATTGATTCCTATGTTATGCTGCTCTTACGGTTAGAAAGATTTTTCTAATATTTAACATGAACTGATTTTAGGCCATTACTCTTAGCCCTGTATGCTGTGAGAACTGGCTTTAACTTTCTTCAGGTTAAAACTGTGATCATATTCTTTTCCTGATCTTTCATTTAATCTAGTTTGCATTCCTGATATTGTTCCAGTCCTACTAGAATTTTTGATCACACTGAAAAATATTTGAAAGAAGATGAGATCAATCCCTAAATAATTAGAAAAGTTTAATGGGTTAAGAAGGATAATATTTTTAACATTTGTTTTGTTTCAGTAAGATTTATTCCTAGTTGACATGATGGCTGTAATATGATATCTCATACAACAATATCTATGTATTTATATAAATGATTTATTTATTTTATTTGTTGAATACATTTCTTGTCTTTTTTCCAGGAGCAACATATAGCTTACAAAGAGAAATCCATCCGTCCTGTGAGCTAGATTGTGCTGAGAGAAAGTGACAGTCTCTAAGTCACTGCTAAGTTTCTATAGCTAAGGGTAGATCTGAACCTACAACTTACCACTCCTACTTCAGTTTCTTAAATACTATTTCACTTTGATTCCTGGTGATTCTGTGTCATTTTTCACTTCAGGACCAAGTCCAAGCTACCCTTTCTCAGTTCCATAGAATACACTTTATACAGGATTGCACTTTCAGCTATCTCAAACTTCAAACCTTTCTAGGATTGTCCTGAATTTCAGTCACGCAGAGATCTTTCTGCCATTCAGTAAGACATTCTATCATATTGACTTCATGAGTCCCGCTTCAGACCAAGACGTGTCTCAGAGGCTTTTTACATTTTATAGTGTAAAATGGGAGTACCTTTGCCTTCCATGGAAACCTGTGTCTCTTTTCTTTGATGGACAGGATTCACAAATAAGACTGTTGATCTTTCTTTGTTCTTAGTTCTGTTGAACTTAGAGTGGGATACACATTTAAATTTGAATCAAATAAATGATTGCTGGCTGGTAACAAAATATGGTGCCACATCTGTTACTTAGAACCTCTTTGCAGAGTTGATTAACATCTTTAGTTTTTTTAAATTAACCCATTCAGGTCACTCCAGAGAGCCATTGTTCATATAAACAAGCAGACTACATCATTCTCAATCCCTGATGCAATTCGCCTTGCAAATTTTAGGAAATATGTATTCAGCATTTTGTAGTAATACATCCTGTTGGAACAGACAATGAAACCTCCATCTACTGTATTTAAACAAATCTTATATGTATGATAACTGTATCATTGGGTAGTGAGAACATTATTAGGGTTTTGCTTTAATATACTTGTTTGCATTGCGACAATGAGACAGCACAGTTATTTCTGTATGACAGAATTAAATCGGATCTCTGCTAAACTTTTCACCATCCATAGAAGGAATATCTCCTCTATATGTTTTTTAAATTCACTTCTCTTTTATCTCAAGATCATTTTGAATTTTCTTTTGTCTTATAGAATATTAACATCAGTTTACATCATCTATTAATTTTATAAATCCCTTCATTCAACTCATTAATATTAAGAAAAATAATCCAGGGCTAAGCTTTCTGGTATCCCATTTTATATCTCACTTCAGTTTGAGAAATGAAACTCAGTTCCGTTTCAATAATGGTTTTCGAATAATCTGTAGATCCATATTACAGAGTTGTGATTCAGCTGATAATTAACTTGCTAATCAGACTGTCATAGAATAATTGATGAATTTTTTGCTAAAGTCAAGTTATGTTAATCCTACTGCATTTCCACAGTCTTACAAAGGAAGCTACCTGGTAAAAAATAAATTAATTTTGAAAGTTTTGTTCTTAATAAATCCACCTTAACTTCTAGTATTTTCCATATTATTTTCAAGCAAGCCACTTAACATTAATTGCTTTAAAATCAAAATCTTCCCAGGTAACAGACTGACTGGTCTGCAGTTCCTTTTTTCTAAAGGACACTGCATTCTTTCTTCTAGTCATCTGTTATTTCACCTGGTTTGCAAAGTTTTGGCCAGATCTTCAGCAATTTCCTTTTGTTCCCTAGGATGCAATCCATCTGGCCCTGGAGATTTGAACTCATTCAAGGTCAGTATCTGGCTAATATTTCTCACAAGCTTGAACTGGAAACCTGTTCCTTCCTTGGGTTCTTTATAATTCCCTGGTGGAACACATACTCTTTTCTCAGAGAAGACAGCTAAAATAGTTCTGCCTTTGTTATCTGTTATCATTTGCCATCTTCAGTTAGCAGCTTATGTACTATTTCCCCCCCCCCCGCCGCCTTCTCTTTTATTTTAAACATACCCAAAGAATCTCTTTTTTGTTATTCCTGAGATCCTTTGCTAATTCAGCTTACTCTGAGCTTTTGTTTTCCTGATATATTCTCTGAAAATTTTGGCTACGTGTATGTAGTATTTCTTGATGATCTAGTAGCTCTCTATTCATTTTCTTTTAAATGCCATTTTAGGACCTATCACGTCTTGGTTGCTGTGGTATGAAGACACCCCACTTACTTTTGTTAAGGGTATGTCCTCACAAGACAGTTCCATCTTGTCAGCAGCTTGCTTCTGAGAGGCAGAAGTTGGACTAAGTTGTGTTGGCACCTTGTTTTCAGTTCATTGCCAACAAAAAACCTCCCCCCACAGGCATTTAAAGTCATATGAAGGAGGAACCCTCAGAAATCAGTGATCTTCTGTGCTCCAATTGTCTGGTGCAGACTGCCTCCTCCCATCCATCCAGTGGGCTCTGGATCTCCATAGCTCTTTTGTAAATAAGAAAGCCAGGCATCTCAATTTTTTTTGCTCTGAATTAGAAGAGAATATTGTAAATTAGACAAGAAAATATTGACCTTGTGGAAAACTGTCCACAAGTGTACCGGCAGGTCAATATTCCCATTGGCAAGGAAAAGATTTAAAAAAGGGAGAACTTCAGCCAACAACTTTTCCTCCTGTTGCAAATGAGTTGAAGGAACATGTGACTGCAGGGCAAGTTAAATGGGAAACTGTGTGCCTGTATGTATGCATGTGTCTGCATGCATGTGTTTGTATGTATATAGAGAAAAATCTGAATTGAGAAGCATTCTGGAATATTCTTTCCTTCCTCTATCCAATAAATATAAAGTTGCTCATTCCATAGGTTGCTTTCCTTGAGATTTGACTCTCTGGTAAACACAGAGGCAGTGCTGATCTAGTTATATTTATTCTGAAGTAAGGCCCATGTATTCAGCAGGAGTATCTCTTAAAGAAAGTGTGTACAGGAACAAAAGCTTAAGTATGATGGAGATGGGGGAACAACATCCCAGTTTTCCAAACAGGATGCTTGAAGTGGTGAATCTCACTTGTTCACATTGGTGAAATCTTTGTTCCATTTTAGAAGCATTCATCTCTGCTAACACTCATAGGAGGAAGGCGAAAAAGTTGTTTGGATTATCCTCTGCTCAGGGCCCCAACAAGGAGGAGAAGCACAGCACTCTTGACAGCTCTCAGCTAAAGGAAGCTCTCAGCCCTCCTGTGTAACCCTGACCTCTATCATGCAGGATTTTTCACTTTTAGAGTGCTACATCAGATGCCTCTGATGGCTGGAAATCATGTGATTTCCAGAACTAGTGTGGTGAAAGTTATAATAATAAAGTCAAAATTAAGCAATACAAAACTAAACTGAATGTCAAATATGTTGAGGGGAGTAATTGATGATAATAGTTCCTGTTGGTAGATAGCAGTAGGTGAAACTAAGCTTCTCAAAGTGAAATACTGGTTGTGCTACTGAGGGACAGCAAAAGTAGGTTGTAAAATGTTTGGTAGATTTTCCTCAAGTGAAGAAAGCACTTTGCTGCATACATGATAGTAGCAGAGTAGGAACTGTGACTGAATTTACTGTTTTTTCCCCTTCTCCTAGGTTATTTTTTCCCCAGTTCTTAATAAACAAAGCTATATTCCTATTTTTGTTTTGCTGATTTTTAATTCATTCCCCCCCCCCCCAAAAAATCCTCACTGGTCTTTGATGAAGACAATTTAAGAGGACCTAAAGTGAAACATTGAGCTCTTCCCTTCATAACCAACTTATTGCTAGACTTCATGAACCAGCCCTGGGTTCCATCTGGGAAAAAACAGGAGCCATTCTCTTTGTGGACTAACCATGAAACATCAGACCCCAACAGCTTCTAAAATTTCCATTTTTGTATGCTGTTAATTAATCTGGAATTTGAAGCATGCAAAGCTTCAGAATTATAAATACCAGATGTTTTTTATATATACCATCAGTGTTGACCCATTACTCAGAAGCTAGAATCCCTTGAACCTGGTATAGAGGTTGTGATTCTTAAAGTAACAATGCTAGTTTGCCAATTTCGATATTGATGTCTTCTACTCTGTTAGTTTACATTCTACTTGCCATTTTCTTCCACTTTCATCACCACCTGGCTTAGTTCAGGCAACTACCTAGCTGATTCTCTAAGGCTTGCTTGCCTGGCCTTTAAGATAATGTTAGGAATCTGCAGAGGGGAATAGAAAGTTATGTGTTGAAAACAAGTATAATGTATTCCTTCAAATGTTATTGGGAAATATATATGGCATTGTCCCGCATAGTGAACCTGTTTAATTCATAGACAGAACAGTTTATTCCTTTATTTAAAAATTTTTATGTTCAATTATTGAATACAATTGAGAAATACAACCTCTGAGGTATTGAAGGTAAACCAGTTATACTTGGGAACATATATAAAAGAAAAACTATTTTTGAAAAAGAATAAATGATTGCTAAGGAGAATGAGTTTATGGATCTGTCTAAGGGCCAGCCTTTCCTCTAATTCTAAATAGGAATGCTATCTTTTTTTTCCTCTGCAGGGAAAAGTAGAAGTAGAGGCTGGGAAAGAAGGAATGAAGTTTGAAGCTGGAGCTTTTTCTTACTATGGAGTCATGGCTCTCACAGCTTCACCAGGTAATTTTTCATCGATCTCCATCTGAAACTGCTGTTAAGAGAAATGATGGCATACTGTACAGGTAGTCCTCGAGTTACAAATGGAATGGAGCCTGCCCATTCCATTCGTAACTCAAGAATTTGTGGGAATGAATCTTGCACCTCAAACAAGATCACTCCCTGCTCATTAAGCGCACATGTCTCATTAAGTACACTTGAGGTATCTCAGGGTAGGGAAGGCCATTGAGGGCCTAAGTGATAGAACAGGATCCCAAGTCCTTCCCAACCCACTAAGATACCTCATGTTTTCCCTTTCCTTCCTGCCACGCCAGACTCATTTACCTTGGAAAAATCCTCTCTGCTGTAGTTTCTTTCCCTTTGAAGGAGAGGAGAGTTGGCTTGGAAATGCTTTTTTGCGCTGACAATGGAAGCTCCTGAGTGCTGTAATATCATGCGAGTTCAAAAGAGATCATGGCCCCCAGAGGCATAGAGCATGATTGCTCTCAAGAAGACATGGGTGCGCTGCTCACTCATGTGCACCGGCTTTATTGAGAGCAATCCTCTTCTGCGCCACCGCTTTCTTCCACTAGGACGAAGTGGAGAAAATCAAGCTGCTGGCAGCCGCAGTGGCAGCCACCTGAGCAGCCACGATCTCCCCCAGCCACCCATCCCGCCCAACCTGCGTTTTCAAGCATTGCATTTGCACACAGAGTTCCTATCTCCCCAAGGCCTCCATTCGGATAAAAGGTGTTTGAGCGCCTATGGACACTTGGAAACGCAGCAAATCACTGTATTTCCAAGTGTCCCTAGGCGCAAACACTTTTTATCCGAATGGAGACCTTGGGGAGATAGAGAGGTCTGTCTGTGAGCAAATGGTGTGTTTGAAAACACAGCAAATTGCTGTGTTTTCAAGTGTTGCATTTGCACACAGATGGAGCTCCCCATATCCCCAAGGTCTCTGTTCAGATAAAAAGTGTTCCAGTGGTGGCAGAAAGGAATTGGGGGGGGGGAACAGGAGACAGGTACAAAGTTTGTGCCTAAAATGAGTTTCTGGGGTCCGTGATCTCACGAGAGTTCAGGTATCCCTTCTCTGCAACAGAGGATGGATACCTGAACTTGTGCAATATTACGGCATCCAGCAGCTTCCATTGACTCTTCTCTCCCTCAAGGGTAGAAATCGCAGCCGAAAGGAAACAGATCTTCTCAAGATGAGTCTGGCGTGGCAGGAAGGGAGGGGAAAGCAGTTGTGGGAGCAGGGGGAGATAGGGTGAATGTTGCAGAGTTTCTGCAGTCATTCGTAAGGGTAAACAACTGCCATGTTGCTGCAACATTCATAATTTTTGAATTTTCTCATAAAAACTAGGGGGCGCTTATCGTGTAACTTCGAATGAGCGTTAAGTGAACACTCGTAACTCAGAGATTACCTGTATTAGCTTAAATCACTCAACCTGGAAGAATTATATGATTTAATGTTTATTGGCAAGAAAGTAGCATAGAACCCAGATGTGCTATTTTAGTGAAAATCAGATAATAAAATCATTGCTTTGCTACAAAGACTCTTAAAGACAGTTAAATTCAGTTGTTTTTTCATAGCAGATTGAATGATAGCCTAATAGAATCTTATTTAGCTAATGTTTGCAAAATAAATGCCAGTTTTATTCAAAAAGGATCAAAATTGTTCAGCAATGATAATTTTGAACCTCTCACTTCTAGTAGATGATAAATAGATTTGTTAAAAACTAAATTTTGGGGAGTCACGGACAAAGTATGTTAACAGTCCATAGCAATGCCTCTATCACAAGGACTATTTCTATCACTTTCTGTAGTTAAATATGGGTAGACCTCAACATACGACCACAATTGAGCCCAAAATTTATGTTATTGAGAAATTTGATAATTGACTTTTGCCCCATTTTATGACTTTTCTTGCCACATTTGTTAAATCAATCACTGCAGTTGTTAAGTTAGTAACATGGTTGTTAAGTGAATCTGGCTTTCCCATTGACTTTACTGTCAGAAGTCTGCAAAAGAGGATCACATGACTCATGGAGACTACAACCTCCATACATGTGAGTCAGTTGTCCAGCATCTGAATGTAAATCATGTGACCATGGGGATGGTACAATGGTCATAAGTGTGAAAAATGGTCATCAGTCCCTTTTTTCAGTGCTGTTGTAACTTTGAACAGTCCCTAAACAGTTGGTAAGTCGGAGACTACCTGTATTTTACCTGCATTCACTGTGCACTTGTTGGGGAAGGGGAAGAGACTGTTTTTATCCTAAAATATCCTGGTACAGCTGTTTCAGTAGAGGAAGACAATATAGTCTTTTAATAGGTTAAGACAAACCCTCAGAGATTTATTTATCTTCTTAGAACTAGGTTTCCAGCTACCCAATCAGATACAGCACAATTTATTTTTGCTATATCAGATCAGGAATAAAGGACAACTTGGGCCAAGCTCTGAATTTTCTCTTCAACTTTATCTTTGTACTACTGTTTTACTGGGAAACTATTCCTGGTGCTTTTGATAACAATACATTCAATTTTAGAAGTACAGTATTTGTTAGCACATCTCAGTATTGTCCTGCTTTCCTACTTTTCTCCATGTACCTACTTTTGAAGGAACAAATTCCTTTTCCAGATATTTGATCACTTCCTTTGTTGGAATGACTCCTCTTCTTTTACAACAAGAAGGTGAAAAACATTGCATGCTAGATTTCTGTATGGTTGATATTATGGAAGTAACTCTTTCCTTCCTTCCTTCCTTCCTTCCTTCCTTCCTTCCTTCCTTCCTTCCTTCCTTCCTTCCTTCCTTCCTTCCTTCTTTCTTTCTTTCTTTCTTTCTTTCTTTCTCATTTGCTACAATAACTTTCATCAAGCTGGCTATTTACCTTCATATCTGATATCATTTTAGAATTCCTGGGATAGGATTAAAAGAGTATGTAGTTGCTGCACTTGTTGACAACAAAAGATTCTACAGAAACAAACACTATTTCTTATCTGAAAAAAGATAGCAAAATGATTTGTTTCACTTTTTGAAAGGCTTGTTTTTTATAGTCTGTTTGAATAAGAGGATGAGCAGTGATTATTACTTATACTGCAACACACAAATACAAAATGCATGTGTTTATGGGACAGATGCTTGCTTTAAACAACTTATGATATCTTCTGCTGTATGTCTCTAACTTCTGTTGTTAGTAACATTATTCTAAAAACATTAACAGAACTTTACTTCCAAATTCAGAGAATTTCGAACTATTGAAGTAACTAAAAAAGAAGCATGTATTGCTTGATATCTGATTTCCTAAGTGTTATTGTATTTTATTTTTTGACGAGTTTTTCATTGTTCTATTTATGTCCTTCACTTACATTTGAATTGTACTTTATTTCTTCACCATGACAAAACTGATTATTTCTTTAAAGATATTAATATCTTCGCTGATTTTAGTCTCATCTCTTTTTCTCTTCTCTAGTTCCTTTATCCTTGTCTCGTACCTTTGTTGTCAGCAGAACAGACATACTAGTGCCAGGAAGTCCAGGTAAATATGCTTGCTTCTTCGGTACCTCTATTTTAAATTGCATTTATCCTGTAACTAATTAAATACTGCAAATCACCTTTTTAGAGAAGAAAGGGTTTGTGTTTAACCAGGTGGGTGCTGTAAGTTTTGATTTCTGATTAGACAATAACAAATGGATCTTGAAACAAAAAGGAATTGTGTCTTAACATTTATCATGAAAACTTCTATACCTTTAAAAATACTGCCAAAAACTAAACATGTTTTTAAAGTTAAGCAAACTATACACGTTGTTGTGTTGCTATGGATTGCTTAAAGTCCTGTATATGAGAATTATGAGTTAATTCTTCTAAAAGCTCTAGCAAGAGTAGGAATATTGACTCCACACAATCTTGTACTGAGTGGTGTTTTCCATGTGGAGTGAAGCAACAGAAATGGGAGGAGCATTTGCGAGCACTGCCAAAATTTCCTTTAAAACAGTAGCCCCCAACCTTTTTGGCACCAGGGACCGGTTCTGTGGAGAGAGGTTTTTCCACAGACTGGAGGGGGCATGGTTTTGCATGCTATTTGCATCTCGAGGAATGGAGCTTCACTTGTTTGTGTGGACAGTTTCTGGCATGCTGCAGACCAGGGGTTGGTGACCCCTGCTTTAAAACCAATGAACTGAAAATTTAGTAAACTTAATTCTTTTGCAGCTATGTGTACTGTTTATAGGAAGGGCCATAACTCAGTGGTAGAGCTCATGCACGAGAAGGTTGGTGGGGCTAGAATATTTCCTGCCTGAAATATTAAAATACTGGCAGGGCTGAGCTAGATCAATTAATAGCCTGAGTCAATGTAAACTGTATCCTATACTAGTCTCGATAGACAAACTTCTTCCATTGCCCAGGTCATTAATTCTAATATATTGTTTCCACTCTATTTTTCTCTGACAAGATTTCTTTGCTTCTTAAAATGCTTTCAGCCACTTCCTTGCCTTCTTCCTGTTTCGGCCATGAAGCCCTTAGCCTTCCTGGTTTAGAATCATGGAATTATAGAGACTGGAAGGAATCTTGGAGATTTTCTAATCCAATCCCCTGTTCAAGGCAGGAGACCTTATACTACCCAGACAAATGGTTGTCCAATCTTTTCTTGAAAACCTCCGGGGATGGAGCAGCTGCAACCATGGGAGGCAAGCTGTTCCATTGATTAATCGTTCTCATTCTCAGGAAATTTCTCCTTACTTCCAGGTTGTATCTCTTTTTAACAAGCTTTCACACGTTGCTTCTTGTTCTACCCTTTGGAGAATAAATTGACTCTCTCTCCGCTGTGATAGACCCTCAAGTACCAGAAGACAGCTATCATATCATTACTTAATCCCTCTCTTTGTTGAGGTAGACCAGTGGTTCTCAACCTTTTGAATGCCGCGACCCCCAACCGGTCATAAGTCGAGGACTACTCAACCGGTCGTAAGTCGAGGACTACTCAACTGGTGCAGCACCGTTTGCAGAATGGGACTTTTGATGGGCTCAGCAGGGCAGAGACAGCCTGGACAATTCCTATTGGCTTTTGAAAGCCAATAGAATTAGACTCTATTCAAGAGAGTCTATTCTATTAGCGTTCAAAAGCCAATAGAATAAAAGGGAATAGCACAGTTAAGGAAAAGGGGAAAAAATGGCGGATTGCATTGTTTGGCGACCCCCGTGAAATGGTCGTTTGACCCCAAATGGGGTCCCGACCCACAGGTTGAGAACCACTGAGCTAGACATACCTAGATCCTTTAACTGTTCATCATATGATATAGCCTCCAGACTCCTTATCATCTTTGTTGCTCTTTTCTGGTTTTCTAGTTCTGGGCCTCTAACTTCTGTATTATTATAATCAAAGTAGACATTTGGCACTTAATTGTAGGAATTAACAATTTTCCTATAATTTAATTCTTGTTTGGAGATTGGTTTAATGATTGATTTTCTGAGTCTTGATGTATTAAACGAGAAATTATCTAGGAGCCTTGACACAAATATTAAACTTTCTCCCAATTAATTCCTCATTTGTAATTATTCCTATTGACGTGTCATAAACATGCTGTTTGTGAACAATGAGCTAAAATTTGTCAGAATTCTTGCTTACTGTTAAGTAGGAAAAGAGCTGTTGTTTGGTCTGTCTTTTTCCTGATGCCGAGTCTTCTGTACTATCATCTGAGAGAATTTATAATATCTGTCTTAGCCATAATCTAAGTCTTTTCATTATTTTCTAATAAACTGAATCATGATCAGCACTAGTAAGGAACACTAAAACAGTAGCTTGCTCACAAAACTGATGTGAGCAAGGAAGTTTTATCTAACCAGCAAATTTGGTTTTGGGTTTTGTTAAAGATAGATAGCAATACACCATTAGTGTGCAGGCATCTTTTGGATTTGTTTTGTTATTGAATTTAATAATACCTGGGGTCTTGATGTTCTCTGAGCATGGCTTTCTTGTAAAATGTTTACTACCAAACTAGGAAATATAGTAACTGAGGGGTGATGTTACGTAGTCTGTTAATGTAACTTTTGCAAAAATAAAAACCATGCTGTGTGAACAGGATCCCAACATTCCAACTGTGAGCTACACATATATTCCACTATTGGTATTAGATAATAGATTGGAAGGATTTGTGTGATTAGTGGATGAATTATAGACTGTGGAATATTACTCTAAGAGTGATTGGAGAAGAACGAGGGAAAGCTGAGGGGAAGAAAAGGAAGTGGAATATAGCAAAGTGAAGAAAGACAACATTGAAAGACAGAATGTTTAAAGAAGACCTGGAGTGGTAGGCAAGTGACTAGCAGCTGGCAGTTGGTAAAGACACTGACAATGACAACAGCTGCCATTGTGAAGCTGTTCCATGGTATGTCAGTGACGGAGAGAGCAGTTTTGGCAAGGTTGAGTTGTGGAAGGTTGCTATGAAGATCTATTGTGAGAAGTGAGCCAGGGGGATTGACAACTGCTGTAGCTGATTAAAAAAAAAAATGCCCCTAAGGTAGGTGATAGCAGCAGGAAATAAAATAATTAGTGCATATAAGGAACCACAGAAATGACCTACAACAGCGGTTCTCAACCTGTGGGTTGCGACCCCATTTGGGGTTGAATGACCATTTCACGGGGGTCGCCAAACAACGCGATCCGCCATTTTTTCCGCCATTTTCCCCCTTTTCCTTTGCTCTGCTACTCCCTCTTATTCTATTGGCTTTCGAAAGCCAATAGAGTAGACTCTCTTGAACAGAGTCTAATTCTATTGGCTTTCAAAAGCCAATAGGAATTGTCCAGGGCTGTCTCTGCCCTGCTGAGCCCGCCAAAAGCCCCAGTCTGCAAACGGTGCTGCAAGGGGAACAGTTTGCAGAGCTTCCCTCCCTGCTGAGCAACTAAAAAGTAAATAAAAGAGGGCCGGGGGTGGAAGGTGGGAGGCTGGTGGGCGCTGGGAGGGTTGCTGGTGTGCGTGGGGCCCGGCAAGTGCCTTATCTGCCTTGGGCTGGGCCAGCTAGTGGCCCAGCTGGTGGTCGCCCTGCGCCGCTGCTGCCGCAGCCGCCCAGGAGCGCCTGGGCCTGCCTGCCGCCTCCCCGAACGGGCAGCGACCAAGGTAAGCCTAGCGGGGCAGCAGCGGGCACAGGGAGGGTTGCTGGCACTCGTTGGGCCCGGCGGGTGCCTTACCTGCCTTGGGCTGGGCCAGCTGGTGGCCCAGCCGGTGGTTGCCCTGCCCGCCGCGGCCGCCCAGGAGCGCCTGGGCCTGCCTGCCACCGCCCCTTGCCGGCTATGCCTCAGCCGGAGCAGGGGGCGGCACCACGCATGTATGGCGCTCCCGGGCCGGTAGTCCTCGACTTACAACCGGGGTCGCGGCTACAAAAAGGTTGAGAACCACTGACCTAGAAGAACGTATGTAATGAAAATTGCAAAAACATGATGAAATCCCACAATTAAAAAAAAGCTTCAATTGAATCTGCCTTATTTATCTTGTGTATAAGATGGAGGGATAGTATTTGAAATAGGATTGTATCTATATTGAACACATACTTTATCTATTGTCCATGGCAGTTCTTTTGCAGTCTGTTTTTATTTTTGCAGTGAGGTGAACTTCTTCTAATATGCAGAAAAACATTTAAAATGGTCACAATTAAATTCCATTCCGCTGGAATTGAATTTAATATTGCAAAAAGATTCTGAAATTTTGCCAAGCTTCAGTTAATATGTGGCAATATATACATGGTCTTTTTTCCAGAACTCCTTCCTACAAATAGTTTGAATTTGAAATAGCAAATATAACATAGGGATTGACTTGTGTTGGTACAGATTGCCTCAACCCAATCACCCTCGCTGCCCTGAACTCCGAGACTCCTGCCACCTTGCACATGGCCAAGTCTGCTGACTTTGGCTTTCTTCATCCTGCTGATGAGACATGCCCAGCCCCTCCTGGCTTGCTAGGCCTTTTTTCTGAGACCACTTGTGCCATTTTCCAAATAGTGTACAGCCTTGCCCAATTTGTATATGGCCTTTTTGCGAGGGTTTAGAAGTCTTCAAAGCCTTGTGAAAAGGCTGTCCATGATTTGGACAAGAAAGGCTTGATGCAGCCAGCAGATGTCTTGCATACTTGGTCAGCACTACGAGCAAGAAGATGATGATGGTCACTATGATGGCAGGGCCACGAAGTGCAGGAGACCAAAATGGTGGAGAGATATGGGTGGGGGATTTGAAGTATCCATGTGGTCATAAGTGTGGGCGGGCTGCCACACACCCAAACTTTGGAGACTAGTCATAAGTCCATTTTTTCAGCATCATCATTTCAAATGATCTCTGAATGAATGATCACAAGATGAGGACTACCTATACGAGTTTTGCCTGGTGCATTATTAATTAACACCAGAGTATAATCAGTTGGAAAGTGAGAAACAATATTAGTTTCTCTTAGAACATGGGTGTCAAAGTTGATCATGTCACGTGACATATCATGACATATCGTGATGTTTTTTACCTTTGAGGAACTGGGGTAGGCATGGCCTGCACTTGACGTATCCAGCTCGTGGGCTGCCAGTTTGACACCCCTGTCTTAGAACATCTGTAAACTGAAAAGGTTTAATTTAGAATCATCAATCTGGCTTCCATTTTTTCTTTTATTGACTTATACTGGTCTCCAAATAAGTTGCAAAATCATTTTAATTTCTCTTATAATTTAGGACATATTACTTGCTTATAATGCTGTGGAAAATGTTCCTAGTCCCCCAAAGGTTTTACAAGCATTGAACATTTACTTAATTGTATATCGCTATGTTATGTTTTATGTTATATTATTCTAAACAATATTATACTGTATTATAATATTTTATTGTGAATTTGAATTCTGTTTGCATTAATTTGTATTCAAAGTGGCCTTAGAGGCTAAACAAGAAAAATTAAGGACACACATTTACATAATTTGTTTGCTGATTAAGCTTCATGAATTTAAATTCAAATAACTTGTCAATTATCTCAAATTACTCTCAGTCTGTCCCATGAACTGATATTGGTTCTTGGATTTCAATTGCATTCTTCAACATACATATTTTTCTTTTTCTTTTTTCCCAGCTGAAAATAAGTCACCACCTCGTTCTTGTGGCTTAAATCATTCAGATTCTCTTAATAGAGGAGATCGCATTGATGCCGTGACACCAGCAATAGGGAATAGTAACAATCAGTTGAACTCCTCATTTGTTCAAGTATATGTTCCAGATTACTCAGTCAGAGCAATCTCAGACATTCAATACGTCAAGGTATGAAAGGAAACAAAAATCTTCTACTTGTAGGTGTAGATTGGGAATATAGGTTGTCCATAAACTCTTAATTGTCAATCAGTTCTAATTATGTTGTGATAAAACACTAAACACCTGAAAAGAATTGCTTCAGATGCAGAATATTTTAGAGGTGATCTTGTATGTCTTTTAGGGAAGAACTAAACTCTAATTTGATAAATGAATGAAGTTTGCTCAGTTAATGGCAATGTGAGAGTTATTGTTGGAAGGAATCAGCAGAGTTAAACAAATCATCCTTGTTGACCCTACTACTTTCACCTGCCTTCTCTCTCCTACTAATACTTTCTAGCCACTCATTAGTGGATTGTGGTTTTCTCTTCATATGTTATTCTGTTCCCAAATTGTTTGATTTCTGATTTTTTAATAAAGGGATCTTTTAAATTTAGCTAATGAGTTGAACATGGGTGGGAAGGATGGGTATGTATTATATGTGAGAATGTGGGTAATAGAGATAGAAAGGTAGCGTGGTCATTTTTTATTTACTCAATTCTCAGTTAGTCTGTTATTAGCATATTAAAATGAATTACAGGTGTATAGCAACATAAGGACAAAAAATAGATTTGCAATACTGTGACATCTTGGAAAATAAGTAAGGTACCAGAAAACTGGTGATGGGCAAATTCTGTCTTCAGCTACCAGTATTCATACAAATAAGCATTCTAAAAGCAAATTTTTGTGTAGTTTCACATTTATGTATCTACTGGGTGCCAAGCTTAGGGAAGACTATTCTGAACTTGTTTTATTAAATTATTTAGGGTTGGGTTGTGGATACAAAGCTAGGAGGTATAACTATTATTGTAAAACTTTCTTGATAGGTTAGCACACAAGACTGAAACTAACAGAATAATGTATTTTTACTAACCAAAAATCAAAGATATAATTATTACATGGGGAGACCAGGATTGTTCCTGATAAGGTATGCAAATTGAGAATGTCCTTTTGGACCCACTAATAATAGAAGAAGCTGTTAAATACAACTTACTGGATAGGAGATGACACAGTTACAGAAATCCCTGCTAAAAAAAAGTGTTGACTTGGAAAGCTATTAATGTCTTGCTTTGAAGGGGCTGCTTCTCTGTGTCCTTTCTGATCATGGACCTTCTTCATTTTGTCTCCATCTAGTTTTGTTCCTTCTTTTCTCCTTCTTTGTTACTTTTACAAATACATCTATTCCACATCCAATTTCTATTCTTTGTGCATATGTGTGTTTTCCTTTTTGATGATTCTGCTGAAAGAAAAGAATATGTGTATCTGTGTGCATGTTCTTGTGAATTACTCTGTAGGAGAGTGGTTTGTAACCAGGTGAGAGAATAATTGGTGTGTGCAAATGAAGAATGAGTTAATTTTATAAATTGTATACCTTACTAATAATTTGTGGCTGTTCGGTTAATTCTTTTTTTCTCCTGGTCCCTTCTTTTTGTACATACAGACATAAGTGCCATGTGACATGTGAATTCATTTGATGCCTCTTGTTGTAGACATTGTAGGAGGAGAGTTGTGTTAGTGCATGGCAGAAAAAAAAAAATCAGGAGTCTGGTAGGATCTCATCTGATGAACTGAACTTTAGCTCAGGACCTTATATCTTTTAATAAAGTCTATCAGTTGGAAAAGATATTAATTCCTGATTTGTTTAACTCATTTGGAAATCTCAAAAATTGTTTTCTTAGCAAGTAGATGTGGAATTGGACAATGCAGAAGAATTTTACTCTGTTTATTATTATTTTTTGACTAGTCTCTTTTTTGAGGGAACATGGCTCATTATAAATTCAGGATTATCTTTCAGGTAAATACAGATATATATATATATATATATATATATATAGATATATATTATATAGATAGATAGATAGATAGATAGATATAGATATAGATATATATATATATATATATATAGAGAGAGAGAGAGATACAGATATATATATATAGAGAGAGAGAGAGAGATACAGATATATATATATATATATATATATATATATATATATATATATATATATATATCTGCCTGAATATATCTGCAGTTGGAATATTATGACCAGTTCCAAGCACAACATTTTTGTTTGAAACTGTGCAGGCACTTTTTTAAAAAAGGAACGGACCTCCAGGAAGTGGAAAACATCAACAGCTTGTATTGCAGTGATATCCTGCACTGCAAACTCCGTACCAAGCAAGGAATTTGCCTACATGATTTCTGTGGGTGGTCAAATTTGTGATTTTATTTAATTGTATTTAACATATTTTTATCCATTTTTTCTTCTTTAAAGCAATATGAATGTTATTTGAGAGAATAAGTGCTTTCAGTCACATACAATTTCTCCATATAGAGGGGGAAAGGTTTTAATTAGTATTCATGGACTGCAACTGTCTCTTGTTCTCCCAAATGTTGAGTGTTCAAAAATAAATAGTTCTGACCTTTGTACCATAATAAAACATACATTATTTTTATATATTTGTTTAATGGGAAACCACCTCCCCGAGCAGTTATAATAACACTAAGATACATATTACCCTGTCATCAGAAGAGACAGCAGATAAAGGACACTGGATTTAAATTTTCAATCAAAAATTGCTCAGGGAATGGAACTTAGTCAATAGCCAGGAATTGATAAAGCAAGAAATGAAACTTCTAGCTAACCAGGGATTCAAGAAAGTAACCAATAGAAAATTTGTAAAGCCATTCTAAAATACAATACACAGGTGTTTGGATTTTCAAGTTAGGATCCTTTAAAATCTGCTTTTTTTAAAAAAAAAAACCTTATAGACAAAATACTATGAAATTTACAATGAAATTCTGACAAATTTAGAAGGTATTGTGATTCACAAAGGAGAATTGATTAAGAATATTGATGCTCCTTCCTGAATCTGCTGGAGCATCCTGAATCTAATGATCTGATAGTTGGAGTTTTGATTCAGAAAGAAACATATGGTCTTTATCAAACGGAAAAGAGTTACAACAGTCAGCTAAGCTTATAGAGCAGTGGTGGCGAACCTATGGGACAAGTGCCAGAGGTGGCACTCAGAGCCCTCTCTGTGGGCACATGCACCGTCACTCAGTCCTAGACCTTCAGCTGGGTTTTATAAAACATTTTTGCTTTAGGCCTCCGCCACCGTGTACAAAAAAAAGGTTCAGTCAATCAGTCAGTTTCAACTTCTCGTGGGAAAAAAATATCTTGCAAAGTTGGAATTGACTGATTGATCTTTTTAGTCCCACCCAATCTGCTGTTACCACTGCAGCCACGCCCACCCAATGGGCCACGCCCACCTGGCACCTGACGATGCATAAGTGGGTTTTGGGTTGCAGTTTGGGCACTCAGTCTCTAAAAGGTTCGCCATCACTGTTATAGAGAGAGGATTGTATAATATTAGGGATACGAGAGAGGGAAACTTGGATGGAGTTTGCAGCGTGATTGGGCCCTTGGAACAATAGATGAACCTGCAGCATCACTGGTTCTAGAATTGGGGCAGGAAAACAAATAGAGCCATTTATTCTGCCTTGAATAAACTCAAATATATTCTAAATGATCCCAAACTGTCTTAGAATTCAAAATTTGTGGAACTGATATTATGTTGCTTATTTTCAATAAAGGTAAGTTATAATTTATGAATCTCTTAATACTAAGAGCATCAGGAGTATTATTATTAATTGCCAACTTCTTTTTTGTATCTTTTAATGTGCTTGGTATAGATCTCAAGACAGCAATACCAAAATGCCCTAATGGCATCTCGAATGGATAAAACACCTCAGTCCTCGGACAGTGAAACCACTAAAATAGAACTGACTCTTACAGAACTGCATGACGGTTTGCCAGATGAGATGGCAAATCTACTGAACGAACAGAACTGTGTAACTCACAACAAGTCCAATCACAGTATGCATAATGAAGGTACCATCTAGGAATCGTCACACTCTTTCTCTGCTTTCCATCCTCATTCCCAGTTCACAAGGACTAGTCCTCATCCTTCACCTTCTGTCTGACTGTAACCACCATTAACGTGTGCTTATAAAGCTGTGCTGCGTCCAGTGCTCTGAGACCAAAGATATCCTGGGACCAGGAAACAAAACTGGGAAGAAATGGGAGCTCAGAGAATGAGAGCACAGAAGGAAAAAAATAAGCAGCAAACATCTAAACAAAGCTTGGCAATGATGAGCCATCTTTTTGGGACAAATGGCAACATTATTCCAAGTGGAGCAGAATCAGGTCTATTTTTTCCAGTTATATTGGTAATCTTTTTAAATATAGGCTGACAAGTCAAAGCAGTTGCAGTTTATTTTTTCAAGCAATATCATGAATCTTTTTAAAAAAAAATATTTTGCAGTTGTAAATATTGCAGGATATTCCCAGTTAAACTCTACTGTATTGTTTATGACTTTGTTCCAATGATCCCATCTTTCATTGTTTTTTCCCTTAGATAAAATGACAAAGTATTGTCATTTGTAGAATGTATTGGTTGGGGAAAACTATGAATGATCCTTAAACAAACTTCTCACAGGTTGCTCCCAAGACTGGAGAAAAGCATGTGGCCCTTTAATCCTTCTGAGTTGTGCATGAGGACATGACATTTAAGAGGCCATATTTTTGAGTCCAGGAATAGTGGAATATGTGGGCACCATATGAAAAAAGGAGGATTTGTGTCCTGAAAAATTGCACATAGTATTTTATTTATTTGGGAGATAAGTAGCAATTTCTGCTGCTTCTCTTTTGCTGAGTGCATGTCTAAACTTTGGAATATTTTCAGAGTCCATGTATTGTCAGTCATGCTGCCCTTTACTTTCAACAAAGAGCTTGTTGTAAAAGATATGTTAAGAGAGCTGACTTTTTTGTTATTTAAAAATGCTGCTATGCTGATAGCCAAAGTCAATCCTCCCAAGGCTCTGTTCTTAGAAGATACAAGCCCTTGTGGATGCTGCTGGGCCAGCCTGTTCTCTTAGATTTTAAAATTCCTTTTAAGATAAAGTCAGTGTGTAACAGAGGAGGTTAGGCTAGGGGGCTGGAAGAAGAGAGATGGGATATATTTCAACAATTGGGAGAGAATTTCTATTTTTTCGTACATTCTTTCTTTAGAAGCCCTCTTTTTAACCTTCAGTTCTTAATCAGCTGTTCAGAATTTTTATGAATGGGTATGAAAAATGAAGAGGTAAATATCTTTAGGATCTTCCCTAAAGAACATGCTGCACCTCAGGAAGTTGAAATTTATTTTGTGGCATCTGGGGAACAATCCCCAAGGAATGCCTTGCTGTTATATATTTAAATAATTTTATTTGACACTGCTGAGATTCTGAGTTGCCATTGCCATCTCATTGCTTAGCATCACCGAATGGATAAAAGGTTCTATTCTGCAGAACAGCATCAGGGCTGACCTCCAGAGTGTGTTAGCCACAATGACCTCCTGAGCTTTGATTATTTTTTTCACTTTTCATGCTGGAACCCTGAATTTACAGGGATACTTTCCAGACAATGTGTTGATTCTTTGCAGACTTGAGATGAACCTTATGTAAATTCTCTACAGCTCTGCTTCTGCAAATATCCTAACCCCAAACAGCTGTGCGCCTAAGTGAAATTTATTTTATTTTAGGTTGTGATTCTTATTTTGCAGTTTATTCTATAAATGTGAAAGAGCTATTTTTTTCATGGTTGCCCACAAGACTTTTGAGTTCCCATGAAGCATAATGTAGATTTCTCCGTTCAAACTATAGTATGTCATTGATAGGACCGACATTTTGGAACTTTCCTTTTATTAGCATAATACTTTAACCTATTAATTTTTTTCAGGCTTGTCATGAAATGCAGACAAACTTCTTAGAGGCTGCAAATTATGCCCTTGAATATTGAATTTTCTAATGTAATGTGCTGTTGAAAATGATACATTATAATTTGGCCTGTTATGACAAAGATAGATTCTTAACTGTTTTTAATGTCTGTATTTCATGTATCTCTTTTCATATCTTGTTCCCCATAACACATACTGAATTGTTCAAATTGATTCTATCCAAATGATTATGCTGGTTTGTCATGAAAAGATTTTCTAGAACTTCCTAAATATTTTAAAGGTATATATCAATCTTTTGTAATTATTTCCAATCAGTATATATAGTTGAATGACTAAGTATTCCAGTCCAGAGTTTAGAATTTCAAGAGTGACTTCTATCCCTGAAAAAAAGTGGTGCATGGAAGAAATTAGTAGCAGGTCATTTGTATTACTTAGGCTTTCCAGCCAATGCCAAACTAAAGGTGCTCTCAGTTCAAAAGAAGAGGTAATGTTTTAGAAGTTGACTTCTTTATCTTTGCTGTGTCAATATCTGCATCACAGTTGGACTTTACTTTCTGATGAGTGGTCTTCTTTCCTGTTCAAACTTCGAGATTCCATCATGCATTAAAATGTAATGTGTAAAATTAACATCCACTGGATTATCTGAATTTACTCATGTCTTTAAGAATATTACTCAATGTATTTAAATTCTGTTTTTTCATGTATTATGCCAATCATTTTATCCATTCTTTTAAAAATATCCAAATATATTTTGGCTGGTAATGTGACTTTCACAGTCACTTTAGAATGGAATGTTTGGAGCCTTTCCCATTCAAATACCACAAGGCAGGAAAAGTTTGGAATCCGAGTCTTCAGATTTTGACAGAAATCTTCCTGGCCTCTTTGTCCCAACTGCTCATGTTGTTTTCACTGTTTCACTCCTCTGGGATTTGGTAGACAGCAATGGTCATTAAGCTTTTGTATAAATCTTGTAGATATATAGCCCTTTGAACCATGTTTGTTTTTTCTTACACTAATTCTTCAACTGCCTGTGAATTAGTTTTGCATTTATTAATGTGAATGCCTTATACCTTTTAGGACAATACTTTGCTTAGTCTCTGTAAAGTTATAATTATTTCTTGAAACGTTTTTTCTGTGAGGTAAGATCTCAGAGATCATGAGCATCATAAAGACTTTGTTGGGGGTTTCCTCTCTATGCTTGCATACTGTGGGTACAGAAGATCTGCAGAGTTTCACTGAGTTTAACCAGTTACCTAAATGCACAATTTTCAACATTTGGGCTGTGTAAGCATTAATCATCCAAATGCGGCTGAAGACTAAAGCTATACAAATGAAGAAGGAAGTGCAGTAAATCAAATTACATACTTTTGCATAATTAATTTCCAAAATATTTTGTTTGCTTTCTCTTAAGGAACTAACGTTAATTTCCAAGGTTACTGTGAAATATGTTGGCATGTATGAAAGCAAATAATATAATCTAAGTATTAAATCCTTTTTATTTTTTGATACATAAGCATTAACCATCCGCTTTTCCCCCCAGTGTACCTCAATTCTCCTGCCTTTTAATATTTATAAAAATGAAATATAGCACCATCTTACCCCTTCTGGCATGTGAAGAAATGGTACTTCAGCATAACATTTCTGTTTTTCATTCTCTTCATCTGTGATTGCTCTAAACTTATCAAGGCTTGCACAGAGATTTTATATCTTTGTGTCAGGAAGAGGTTTTGTGGGTTTGTGGTAGTATGGTAGATAACACGCCAGGCTGGTTTTTCACTGTTCTGCCAAAACCCTTTTGGTGTCCTTAGGAAACAGGTAATATAATATCCAGCAATAAAAATGTCAGTTGATCCAATGGTCACTAAGACATTTTTTTTTCTCTATTTTGATGCTCTATGTCGAAGTTGCAGACCCCTGCCCTATGTCAGCTTTCTGATCATATGTTCCCCTATTTAACAACTACATGCTCTGGAGACTGCTTTGAAATTGTAAGGATGGCTGTTCCATGTAGAGAGCTGTATTTATACACAAGCTACAGCCACATGGTTATGACTGCTTGTGGCAATAAACTCCTTCATATATATAAGCAGTGTTTTTTGAGCAACTCTCATGTGGTGGTTATTGTGTAAATTATTCATCAAGACAGCCTAGACATGTAATTTGTCAATTAACAGTGCAGGTGGAATCCCACAAGTAATTAACATTATGTTTTATGCTAAGGGCTGATAAGACAAAAGCAATATTGCTAGATCCATCATGGAGACATATGTGTGCTTTCTCCCTCAGGTAAATGTAATGAAGAATTCTTTGAAAGGGTCTCAGAAGCATTAAACTCCTAATACAAGATAGCTATAATTAGGCCAGCATATCCAAATGACTGTACATTTCCAACAAGTGATTTGTATTTTGCTGTTTTGATATGGCAACTGGAAAGCAAGAAAGGCTTTAATTCCATTTTCAGACATTTGCTAAATTGGCAGATTGGTGGTTATGGTGGTGGCTGGAACAAAGATTGAGTGCTTGGACTTCCTTGATTTGATCCAGACAGCATTTGAAGGCACATTTGTGCATTATTCTAATGTCCAGTTAGAATCATTCTTACATCTTTGTGTGAAAATCTCTAGCTAATCTGTGCTTTGACAAGTATTTGGGGATCAGATTAGCTCGCTTTTTAGAAATATTTTTGCTTTTAAGCCAAAATGATCTTATTAATTTAACTATCAGAATACATCCCCTCCATCTTAATATCGAAGAAAAACATGTCCATAAATTAAAGCACATTTGTTTCAGCCTTTGGAGTCTGTGCAGCATTTCCTATTACCTTTAGAATGTGGCATCTTCACGATAACAAAAAACTGGCAAAACATTATTTTGCTGCATTGAATGCTGTCAGTGATTCCTTGTTTTGCCTCCCACCCCGAGATGCTTCATAATCTCTATTGCTTCCCCTGAGACCAATCCCCAAGACAGTCTTTGCCATAGTTAACTATGCAAATGAAACTAGATTAGAATAGGGTGAATTTGCTGATTTAGGTTCATTTCCTTTCTGTAATATATGTAAAATGTCATCACAATAGGCAACCAGTTGAGAAGCAAATGATTTCTGTATCCTTTTCCTAACATACTTCTGGCAATTAGCATTATTTCTACTGAAGTGCCTGTCTAGCTGCTGTAGCAATGCTGCAATGACATATCATTTCATAAAGTGAGTGATACTAAACCATCTTCTGGTTAATCCTAGAATAAATGTGTAGACTGAATTAACAGTACAGCAATGAGCCTTGAACTCAAAAGATGAGAGAATGAATACTGGGTTAAAAATAATTTATCTTATAAATGTATGAGGTGCTAGAAAGTGCTTGAGCCTCTTGATGTTTTGCTCTCTCTCACTTGATCTCAGAAATTGTCTAATTTTGCTTAGAAGTCAGAGAATTGTGCACAGTTGCACAATCCACATCTAGGTTAGCTCATGGATGAAAGAGGGAAATGTGTACACTTTTTGATGGGTATTTGTAGCACATTTGTGCTATTGTTAGTAACATGGTGCTGCAACTAAAGGCACAATGGGAGGCTAAATTCTGTTACTGAAACACTAGATGTTGTGTAGGGGCTGCTAAGCACTGTTTGTTATTTACAATGTACATTTCTTCCACTTATTTTTTACTGTTTCATACATTGACATTTTATGGTTATTGTCATTTCTTAGCTGTAATTCCTCTTGGCTTGATCCTACCACTGTAACTGTAGTATTTCTAAATAACTTGTTTGTGAATTTGGACGAATTGATGAACAATCGCAATACAATTTTCAAGATTAGGAGTTAAACTGCTATTGCAAGGGAGAAGGTAACAATAAAGGAGAATACCATACTTCATGCTTATAATTCCATACATCATTTTTTTAATGGAGGTTTATCTGGATCTCTACAGAATGTTTTTTCTCAAAAATAGATGTACTTCTGCATAATGAGCTACAACAGCGCCCTCCCCAACCTTTTGGGTGTCGGGGACTGGGTCTGTGGACCGGAGAGGATGTGGTTTCACTTGCTGCCTGCATCCCACATGTGCACGGATGGGGCTTCGCTTGTTTGCACGGCCTTGGTTTCTGGCGCGTCATGGACTGGTGCTGGTCTGTAGCCCAGGGGTTGGGGACCACTGAGCTACAAGACAGCAGCTGCACTCAAGGTCATAACTTGAAACTTAACTGCATCTCAGGCCAAGCTTTCCAATGCAGTTACTATATCTTCCTCATAAATGTTGCACAGAATTGCAGATTTACACCGATGTAATACAGTATAAAATTCCAAGAATTGGATTCCAATTTTTATTATTGTTGATTGCTGACCATGCTTTAGTAAGAATTCAAAGGCTCCTCACACAATTTATTTCCATTTATTATTGCACTCCAAATTATACTTTTTGTAGGTTTGTTGTTAATGTTGCATTATATCTATGCATTCTCCTTCTTCTAAGTGGTAATGGTCTCCTAATAGTATTCCATACTATGTTTATATAATCTCTGAAAAAGCACAAGTGGAATGTACACATTTCATAAATAATCTGCAATCCCAGTAGAGTGTACCATTACTCAGTGGTGTTGACAATTTATTCTATTTATTTTGAACTTGATTTATTTGTATATTTTGCAATTTTATTGTAAAGCAGTTTATTTCTGTTAGATAAATGTGTTTTTCCTGTAGACCTTTGTTTTAAGTGGCTCTTTCCCATTCCATGCATCATCTTTTGTTAATAAGAGTACAAGATGGTAATTTTCTAAAAGTAGCTTCCAGGGAGAATGGAAGGCTTCTTCCAAAGGAATGTGTGACTTCCGAAAGTCTTTGGTCAGGATTTGACTTTGTTGTTCATGAATGGTTACTTGCAGTCTTGTTAATGGTCAGAGTCACCAGCTAGAAAAGGAGAGAACATTATGCTGGTATTTGTTTTCAGGTAGAAGAAAAATACTTTTATTTTTAAAGTTGGATGAAATTAAGAAGTAGTTGGCCTTCCAAATTTTCCTTCCCTTCCGGTATGATATTATTTCTAGTATTCATGGAAGATTTTGGTGTCCAAGTAGGCCCCTTGTTACTATGTACTGAACAAGCTGGTGATTTTTTCCCCGTTTATTTTTTATCTAGATAAAAATAGCTCCAGTATTCATCTAAATCTAAAGTTAAATCTATCTAGTGAATATTAACCATATATTTCAGTTGTTTCTGTACATTTTAGGGTTTTTTTCCCAAGACACCAAAAACAATTATTATTTCTCAGCTTTAAACCAATCATCCCTCAATATCTGTAGGAATTCATACTCAAATAAAGCAACCAAATATTAAATTATCTCAGAGGACAACAAAAGTAAAGAAGTCTTCATATTGCTGAAGTCTTTTTTTTGTTCCATCTTATTCAGCTTTCCACTCCCTCCTGCCAGAACATAAGGACACTGAAATTCAGATTATGATTTTGACAGTTCAATAGGATTCTCTCTAATCAGCTTTTAAATACTCCCTACAATGTATTTTATTTTATTTTATTTTTTTATCTTCTCAATGGCTTTGGGGCAAGTTAAATTGTGTTTGCATGGCTCATGTGGTCTGGTGAACTCTCTAGCTAAATAGGGATTTAAATACACCTCACCCATACTATGTCCAGTACTTATAGTGACTTTAACAGAAGAGCTGCTGGAATTTGTGCTGCAAAGTAGGAGCCCTTTAAACAGATTTTGTTTCCTGGTTTCTCCTAAAAGAAAGTTTCTCCTACTTACTGAAGAAATAATACAAAAACTACATGATATTTAGTGACAACTATTCATAATATTAAAATATATGCCTAATATGCCTAAACTGCTTTTCCAATCCACTGCCATCTCTCCCCATGTGACTGAGATGGCATGGTGACATGTCAGTTATTCATTTTTGTACTAGTGGAATGAAACAGGAGGACCCCAACAAATCTGTGGTGCAATAACCATTTTTGCTGCACCTGTTTTTCAGGATAATCAGAATGCTTTAGACACTGACGCTTACGTTCAGATTTATTGAGGAAATCTATAAGGTATATATTTAAGACCAGAACAATGGGCTATGTTTGGACTTGCAGGACTTAGTCTCCATTGCCACAAATGGATTCTTTTTTCTGTATCTCTGGTTTCCTCAAATCTGCTCTGGAGGTCTAAAGTATGTGATACTACTGGCAACAAATTTCACCTTCTAGTACTCCCCCACTTTTTTGATCATCTTCCTTCCCATCAAAATGTTAAGGACAAATTTGAGTGAGGTGCTGAAAATGCTTGCTACCATTGTAAATAATATCTTTCATAAATAAAGGTAGTAGTTGTGCTGATTATACTTACTGCCAGAGCAATTAAAAGCTCTTTTTTCCAAACTAAGACAAGATGACTGCAACATCATGGTGCAATTATTGATGGGGCAACTAAGTGCTGGTTCACAAGGCTGAAGTCCACAGCACAAAACAGGAAATAACGGTGGGGAATGCAATTGGTTAAGTGGGTTATTGGAATGCTAAGATCACCTTGATCTGTTGCCTAAGGGCAGCCTCCTCCAATTCTGATTGCATTGATAATAGGTAGCTCCTTATGCTGCAGGTATTCAATTCTATTCCAAGATTAACCTCTGGACGAAATCCAAATTACCCACCATTGCCATCAAGTTACAGTGGAATGCAATGAGGTATAGATAATGGGAGCTGAATTTCCCAGAATTGCTCTACAATTTCTGAAACACCTGTACTTTTTATAATGGTTATTATCCCTGGATTGGATGTTATTCACATATCTTTAAACTTGCTTATAAAACTTTTGATTAGCCGGTCTAACACTGATGACTTTACCTTTTTGCATCTTTTCAGAAACACATGAAGGCTGCTTATGAATATAATTTTTTATTTGCAGATTTGTCAGAGCAGTACCAGCTTATCCTGCTGATTTGCAATTCAGTGTGTGTAGTAATGGAATATAACTACTATTAAATGATTCAAAATAAAAATTCCAATATTTTAAAATAGGGCCTCTTTTTTGTCTTCTATACACCAATGGCACAGAATGGTAAAAGGTATGTTTACACTCCAGAAACTGCTTATTTATATGAAAAAGAAACCCTGGCAGCCTTGCACTAGAGAGTAACTATCAGGAAATGTGCTTTGATTTAACAGCCTGAACTAATTAATACGACAACAAGCCAGGCCCTCAGAGCCTTTTACAAATATAATGAAGCTGACCTTCATTGAGTCTCATTCTTGGAATGGAGGTAAAAACAGAGTGTTCCAATAAGGACATCCTGTTGAAGATGTTCTTTTTTGTAAAGACTCTGGAACTATTTGCTGCCATGTATTTCAACTCTGTAGGAGTGAGCCAAGCGGCTGCTAGCTAAAAAAAAAAAAAAAAAAGAATCTCACTCTGACACAGAGCTAAAGTTTTAGCAATAATAAGGTAATGAAAAGAGGTGCAAATAAAACTTCCTTTTTTGAGATTGTAATTTTCTTTGTCTGGACTATATGAGTGTTTGTTTTCTTTGAGGTCATGCACGCATACAAAACAACCTCTTCTTTTCCTTGTCCCATAAAATTGAACGTAAAAAGCATAGATCTCCCCAGTAGAAATGTTCAGGGCAAAGAATAAGCACATGGCATAAGGACCCATTTTAGAAGGTTCCAGGCAGCACATACCTCCATCAGAATGATAAAGCTTTCAAATTTCAGCCACAGAAAACTACCTATCAGACATCCAAGAACAGATGGTAATTCATTTCATAAATCATAAAGTATAAAAATGAGTAGAAGCTGGAAAGCTGTAGAGCAAAGGCAGAGGACTGCGCTTGACCAGATGAACTGAACCCTGAAAATACTCCCATTTTTACACATACAGGATTGAGTGCAGAGAGACATGACTCCCTCCCTAAAGGGTCAAAAGACTATAATTGCTGTGATAACTGCAGGTCATGGAAACCTTCCTGCCCGAGAGGCCATTTTAATGAAATGAACAAGTAGAGAAATAAAAAAACAAGCCTTCCTTTTTACGTGTGTGTGGGGGGGGGGGATGCATTTGGGCTATCTATATGTGGTCTTAATTCAGCCAGCACATTCTTTGTATATTTGAAATAGGTCTGCAAGGAATAAGCTTGCTAAAGATAAAGGGCTCCTGATTCGTTTTTGTTTGCTTGCTTGTGTGTTATTCCCCACCTGGGGGGAATCAGTTCCTGCCAATTCCTGCTATAGCCACATTTAATGCAAGTATTTTCTATTCTTCCTCTTCTTCTTCTTCTTCCTCATCATCATCCTCATCATGGCAATGTGTAATCTCTTGGGGTGTTTGAGGGAAGAGATTGGGTGGTTTAATCTCACTAACAGATCGGGTGAGCTGATGCCGTTTGTCTGAATCTTTGAAGTCCACTGAAGTGCGATTACGGGTAGCCATTGGGGATTCAGTCTCATTGATATCCACATGGGTGTGGTCCACTGTTGACTCGTGTGGCATCTGCAAGGGAGAAGAGTATCTTTCCCTCAATGCTCTGAGAAGTTAGGTGACTCACTAGCTGCATTACATACAGCTGCATTACATTCATTACATGGATTTTCATCTCCATATAAGACCACAAAGAAGCTTACAATAGCAAAAACAATGCAAATAGACACAAACAAATACAGCAAAATTGTATCAAAATGCTTACATTTCGCAAAATTAAAATATCTTTATCACAAAGTAGGGGACAATCTGCCTCTTTTGCGGAGGAATTTGTTACCCTAGAGTGGTGAATATTTACTGACAATATTAACAGAATTAAAGATTTGTAAATGAGTAACTCTTTGTACAGGAAAGCCTGCAGTTTTTCCTTGTAGAGGGCTAACTGGCCCATTACCAACATTATTTACAAAGTATTTCCCCAAACACACTATTGGTCATAAAGGTAATATGGATGTAGGTCTAATATATCTTGTATAACTTCCTTGTTTAATATGAATCAGTCAAATATAGGTGCATTCAGGTTCAGGTCAATGTGTCTTCATGAGGAACATTTGTCAGAACTGTTCCTTAAAAGTAGGATTTCAAACTGCTCCAAGCCTATCTCACCAGAATTCAGAAACGAAAGTTATTTCAGAAAAGAGGTCTTGTTGGTCTACCTTTATCATGTAGTACAGTGGTGGCAAACCTATGGCACGCGTGCCAGAGGCGGCACTCAGAGCCCTCTCTGTGGGCACGCGTGCCATGTCCCGGAGATGGCAACCATCCACTTCAACCAGCTGCCCACTAACTTGCTGAGGTCCCACATGGCCGGATGCATCCCAGCACCCATACGCTTGCCTGCCTTTGTGTGCGGGGGCCAATGGTGTCAGGCAGCAGCCGCCCTGGCCCCTGCCTCGCCTTGCCCTGCGACATGGCACCCCCGCCCTGCCTTGCCTCACCCCGCAGAACCAGCCTCCTGCCCACAACTCCACCTGCCAGAGACCCCTGGATCTCTCCCAACCCTGCCGAGCCCCCACAGGCATCCCTCCCCAGGAGCAACATCGAGTTGGCCACGCCCACCCATCTGCCATGACCACTGTAGCCATGACCACCCGGCACCCAGCAATACATAAGTGCGTTTTGGGTTGAAGTTTGGGCACTCGGTTTCTAAAAGGTTCACCATCACTGATGTAGTAACTGATTAGCCTCATTTTTCTTTTGCTGTATGCAATGCCAATGTCATCCTATCTGATACATTAGGCTACATCTCTTTTCTGTTGAGAATGCCTTACTCTATATATCTTGAAGATGCTGAAAAATGCCTGGATCATTCTGTCTACCTGAATGAATGAAAATCTATGTTTCAACTTACCAGCACATGGGCGGCTCTGAAGAGATAACTGAAAGGATAATATAAGAGGTTGATGAAAGATGCAGCATAGAGATCTGCATAACGCATCACTTGACTAGCGAACAGCGTTTGTCGGGAACCACTTCGAAACAAACTTCCCATCATTCCATAGCACATATCCATGTCATGAGTCACTTTCTAAAATCGGAGAATGAAGTTAGTAAGCATTTGCCATGATCAGGAAGTCTTTCTAGGAGTAATAGCTCTAATTCCTATATAAGGGTTCCCCATTTACTTCAGGGGACAATAATTCCATTTATTAAAAAGGATGTCTTTGGAAATATAGAACAAATCTGTTCCTATTGGGTTACAAATAAGGCTTTGTTCTTTTGAATCCTCTCGTTCAGTTAGAAATCAAACGCTTTTATAAATAATGGATGTTTTAGGAAATATTAATAAAGTGCTCCTTGTACTAGCAGACCATTAGGAGCCTTATGTTTATATAGCTTGAGAATAATGAAGGCATTTTTAGAAGAATAAATAAAATGGGGTGGGAAGTACTAAACTCTAGAGCATACACAAAGAATGTTTATGGCCTAGAAACTTTTAATCTCCCCACATGCTTTACAAATATTCTTGCCATTGCCTTCTACTTTCCTTAGTCATCATTCCCTTGTTCAGTCTTACTTTTTCTCGGATGCACAAACCATACTTTTACCAATATAACATACATTTGCCTGTTTTTAGTTCTTGTAGTTTTTCTACAATTATTCTTCACTGACTGATTTACACATAAGGGGATGTGTGTGAAGTATAGAGTCTTGCATGAGATTATATATCATACAAAGCCAAAATCAATGTGTAAATGCAGCCACGACTTTCCAGCTTCCTCTTAATGCCTTTTTTTCGTTCATTTCATGCCCTACATCCTGTAGAACAACCATTTATTAGGGCTATTGCAGAATACTTCACTCTAGCATCGTGCTGAAGAACTGGAAAAGGGAGGGTTTAATAAGGGGGAAAAAAGAAAGCCACCAAGACCAAATGGTGAGCATTACCTTAATACGCCTCTGGATGGAACTGATATCGGGACGTTCATTGCTGCTACTATCCAAATGCCTGTTGACATTTTAAAAAGTAAAGAAGCACGTGAGAATGTTTTAAAAACTAACATGGACAAAACAAAGACTTACCGTATTTTCCGGTGTATAAGACGACTGGGCGTATAAGACGACCCCTGACTTTTGAGAAGATTTTCATGATTAGACAGTTGTCTTATACACCGGAAAATACGGTATTTAGGAAGGTGACTGGGACTCACACATAGCTCCATTTTCAGATTTTATGTTAAATCCACTGAAATGATGCAGCCACTGTAAAATGGTGAGGCTATAATGGCATTATGGAGAGGCCATAATGGCATTCTGAAAAGATGTAATATATGGCTTATGCTGTGTGGATAAGAATTTTTTCTTACTTGTATAGTTCAGCCAAAAAGATGTCTAGACTCTGAAGTTCTTCAAAAAGGCCTAAGTGAAGGAGAAAGTAAAGGTTATTTCCAATTGGAAGTCAATGAAGCAAATAGGCCTATCTATCAGGCCGCATTATTTTCACTAAAAGAACTAGAAATGCTAGAAGGTACAGATTCTTGCTTGCTTGCTTGCTTTATAATGGCAATATGAAATCCTACTTGAAAACGTCCTGCAATTGTCACAAAAAATTTTCCATTTTTAAAAAAGATACAGGTGAGTATACGTAACAGTTTTTATTCTTCATTTCTAGTCTGTAAATGGTGGGAACAATTACAAGGCTAAAAATAATAATCTGCTTGCAATCAGTCTTTTTAATGTTTTTGCAGTGTTTACCAAGTGAAGATATCTAAGGTAATTGGGTACCTCTCAGAATTATAGCTCCTATTTTTGGACTTCTCCTTGTTCTATTATGTTCATGTTTTTATTGTTGCAATGTAAACAAAATGTCTTTATAGTGCATATTTCTTATTTAAATTTTTGCTAAAAGCCACCTTGTACATTTTAATGGAAAAGCAGGGTATGTTTTGAATAAATAAAAACAAGAAACGTCAGCAGCATTAGTGACATTTTTATCAAAGGAAATAAATTCTCCCAAATCTCAATCCAAAACATATTAGGAAATGAATTAGTTTCCACAAGGCGTCAGTATCACATCTCAGAATGATCTGAAGACGTTCCTCTTTCCTAGTGTATGGATACACCCAAATAAATAGAATGCAAATAATCAATAAGGTAAATACTTTTTCATTTTTTCTATACCAAGTAAATCTGAGGTTAGAATGTTAAACACTCACAGCTTTTGTCTGTCCAGACATGAAGTTCTTGTGCCAGTTCTGGAATCACTAAAAAAGTTCTCCAACCTTGGCGTTTTTTGGACTTCAAAATGTCTCCAAATATATGGTCACCTATATATAAGATGTCTTTGCCTTTGGCTCCCAGAAGATCGCATATTGTATCAGAGGAGCCTGAGGAGAAGGATAGTCTTAGTAGCAATAATGTTTTTTGCCCTTCACAAAAATCTAAGATGTCATGTGGAAAACATCTTGCTTTTCATGCACTGTTCCTTAAAATAGTTATGACTGGAAGAAGTCAGGTACATTTATATGTAACTCTTGCCTGCTCTGCTTTGCTGATTGGAACATTTTCATTTTCAGGTCCAGTTGTTCCAAGTGGCAAGTTCAAGGTGATTGGGCCCTCTTCTCTCTCAACACACCACACACACACACACACACACACACACACAGTTTTAAAATACAGAAAAGCACTTAATGCACAGGCTGAGTGCAATGCCCGACACATGTATTTTACTCTAGAATATACAAAAACTGAAAAATAGAAAAAAAATCTCTTTTGGAATGGCTGGTCCTTGGGGGGAGGGGGGTGTCTCTCTGATGCATTCCTTAACAGAAGACATCAAAAGGGATACACACGAGTAGAGAGATACAAGCTGCTGCCTCTTGTCCACTAACAACCACAGATTAGGGAAGCTGGCAGCTATATTCCTGCTATATCTGAAAAGCCATGGTTTATCTGTCCCTACCATAAAGACAACATAACATGAATTGGGAAAACAGCTATGGCCAGCAGCTTATGCTGGATAAACCTCTGCTTCCATCAACAGAGAATACTCTTTCTCTATAGAATATAAGACCCCGTTTCAAACTCTAAATGAAGCTGACTAAAAGCAAAATCCCTCTTTCTGTGCTTAATAAAATAAACAGCTTTGTGTCTATTTTACCTCCAGAGTAGACAATACCATGCTGTAAAGGACCTGTGTAGGTTCCAATTTTCAACTTGCCAGTAACCTGTAAAGAAGAAAGTTGTTTTCATGAACAACATCCATTTTCCACTTGGAGGGGCGAGGGAAGGATAAGTCAGAGCTCAATGGAAAATGGTTACATCTATCATATACGGTACATGGTACTTGTTTCTTCTAAGACAGACATGTCAAACACAAGGCCCAGGGGCCGGATGCAGCCTGTGAAGCCATCCTGGAAACAATGAGGGAATGGCCCCCTCTGCCTTGGCCCTGGTCCAGGCTAGCCAGGAGCCAATGTACAATTTTGTGGTGGCCATCTATGCTGGAAAGCATTCAGTCTTAGCTCCACAAGGCTGTCTGGAAATAGTGAGGAACCAGCCCCTGCCATGTCGGCCCCGCCCCCTGGGTGCATTTTGGGGAGGTGTCACCCTTTGTGAGGAATGAAGAAATGCACCATCACATGGAAGTAGCCAGCAAATGGCCCTTGCCTACTTCACATATCTGGCTTGATGGGCTCCGGGGGAGGGGTTTCGGCAGGCAGTGGGGCGCTCTCCTTACAGCACCAAGGCTGAGCTGGGTGGCGCAAATCCAAAAGGAAGTGCAATGCCACCCAGCCCCCAGCCTGCCCGGTTTCGGTAGGCAGCGAGGCACTCTCCTCACAGCACCAAGAGCTGAGCCGGGTGGTGCGAATCTGATGAGAAGTGCAATGCTGCCTAGCCTCCAGTCTACCCAGTTTGAACAGGCAGCAAGGTGTGAAGCTGATGAGCTTCACACCGCCCGGCTCAACTTCTCGGCGCTGTGAGGAGAGCGCCCCGCTGCCTGGCGAAACTGAGCAGGCTGGGGGCTGGGCGGCATTACACAGGTAATGTTTACTCTCATGCTGCTCATGGCATCCCCTCCCAGATATGTGATGTAAGTAAGGGACATGTGCTGGCTACTTGCAGGTGATGGTGCATTTCTTCATTCCTCACGAAGGGTGATATCTCCCCAGCTGTGTTTCTTGCTTGTTTTTCTCCCTCCCTCATCTCAAATATTTTCCTACCACTTTGTACTTTGTACTTTGTACTTAGGAAGAAAGGAAGGAAGGAAGGAAGGAAGAAAAGGAGACGGAGGGTCTGAGGCAGGGGTAGGCAACCCAAAACACTCAAAGAGC